CAGAAAGTAAGCAGAAACATCCCAGAGGAGATCCTCAGCAGCCTTCCAACGGAAGTGCTTGGGATGGAAGGAGCTGCCATCTGCTTCCTTGGTGAGGATGTCTTCATCATCGGAGGATGGAGGAACAGCAGCAACTTGGACAAGCAGTACCGCAAGGAGTCGTACCGCTACTGTGCCGACAAAAAGCGCTGGACGCTTCTGCCGCCCCTGCCTCAGCCGCGCTGCCGAGCGGCGGCCTGCCACGTCCGCATCCCGTATAGATACCTGCGCGGCTGCCAGCGCTACCCGATGCCGCAGAATCTGGCGCGCCAACGAGACCGCATGCAGCAAATGCAGCAGATGCACCGACTCACACTCACTCGGCGGAGACAGATGCACTCTCAAATCGAATGCTAAAGTAGGATTAAAGATTGTGCAGTGAATAATTAACACTTTAATCATTGTGAGAAGGCATTTATCTGAAGATAATCTTTTTTTTTATTATGATAGAATGAAAGGTAAATCTAGAACTCTCTTTAAAGCTGTAGTATGTAACTTTTATTTATTTTTTTTTTATTTAAATTTTTTTTTACATATTTGTTAAAACTGTTAGATGAGACAGAAAACAACCAATCTAAGACAGGAGGAGGGTCTTAGCGCTGTCAGTCAATCTCATGTACTTGCTGCTCAATGTGCTAATGGCGGAGAAACTGCTTACCGTTACAGGAAAACTGTTTATCCACCGTCACCAGTTGCCACAATAACTAGCCTTAGCTTTCACAACATTCTATGCTAGCTGCAGCGTAGCAGAGAACAAGAGCAGAGCCACATGAAGAGTGATTGACAGCGCTAAGACCCACCTCCTGGCTCTGATTGGTTGTTTCTAGTGGGAGAGGGCAATTGAGCTTAATTTTTTTTCCTTTTATTTTATGTATTTTTTTTATTATTATTATCTGTCTCGTACCAGCAAATATGTAAAAAAATATTTTTTTAATAAGAGTTACACTATTCAGACTCTGAATAAAAAAATATCTATTTAATGTCATGTCCAATCTTAATAGTTGAACTGAGTGGAAGGATATATAAAAATTTTGATTTCCTCAAAAGATTTCAGAAAATTCCTGTTTTTGTTTTTCTTCTTGTTTAGCTTAGCATTCAGATTTAAACTTTGGAAACTAACAGGGAGGCTGTTTTTATTGTAATAAATGTGAAGATATAAATGGTTGATGCTATATTACATATAAAACTGCCATGACTAAAAATAATGTCAGATTATAAAGTAATTAAGATATTTTCATATGTAATTCAAGTATAATTCAAAAAAGTATATTTACATCAACTTCTTTACTGTCGCAATTTTATTATTACTACAATGTTCTTTTTTCATTGCATTTCTTTTTGTTTTATTTCTTGGTATAGATATCTTGGTGCTGATTGTGTGTTCAAATTAGGGATTGTTTCTAAATACTTTTATTTTTTTTGCCAAATTATTCAATGCATCTCACTTTTTCAGTGCCTGTCCATGAATTATGTTTCAGCTCTTAAATATTTCCGCTGGAGTAAAAAGTTGTTGCACTCAAAACTGTTATGTGAAGATTTAAAATCCTACTACGCCACTAAAAATGAGGTTCTCTGAGGATGAAGCTTTCTTATTGGGTGTATTTGTGTCACAATGCTAATAAATTAAATCAAAATTCTGTTGGAATTGTGGTTTTGTCAACATTTGTTTGGTGATTTTGCTTCATGTTAAGTGTGTTTTGAGGAAAATAAGGGGGAGATCTGTGTTTAATTTTACAATTTAACCGAGGTTCTCAACAATAAAAGTAACTGCCAATATTCTGAATTGATGTATTTTATTAAAAACTTTTTTTAATACTTTCTACTAAACTTAATTTTGTGAAATTGAATTCAATCTGCAATCAGTAAAACATTTTGTTGATAATGAAGTCCTTGAATGAAGTTTGACGCGTTTCATTAGAACCGTACTACGTCCTAACTCTTTAAATTGGGTAATCATATTTCTAACACAAAAAAAGAATAAATTATATTAAAAACATGCAAATTGCAACTGATAATAATAAACTCTTGAAATTACTTCATATATAAACCTTAACAGTTGCTGCTCTTTTTGCACTACTGTTTCTTTAAAGATATTAAAGTCTTTTGATTTCTGTAGAAATCAAACTTTTGATTTACTGGCATAAATGGAAGCTATCACTGACTACATTTTCCCTCTTTTTGAGAAGAAATTGATCCCTCGGAACTATATATCTAGGGGCTGGGGATGAGGGGGACTTTTGTTGGTGTAACACAAGGATGCAATCAAGAAAAATAATTTTAATTTCGACGTTTGCACTTAATGCCATGTTGAGACATTTAAAAGTTTGTTGTTTCACGCTTCCGGGTTTTAAAGCGGATGTGGGGTTGGACAGCTTCCGGTGGCTATAGCGTTAGCAATAAAAGGCTAGGAAAATGACTCCGTCTCGGCGCAGTTGTTTTTGTTCAGTCCCTGGTTGTTCATGTGGTGCAAGAAAACAGCCTTATCTGTCATATCATGCATTCCCGACGGACCCGGACCAACGGAGGCAGTGGATCCAGACGATCCGAAGAGATGAAGGTCCGGACTTTTGCATAAAGACGGGGAGCACTTTCGTATGTAGCCGCCACTTCACACCGGAGGATTTTGTTAGCGGATCCACCACCAGCCGCCTTACAAGTGGAGCTGTTCCTTCCCTGTTTGCCTGGAATAACTTCACTGCACCGGCAATGAGAGAGTCTGCTTTCGAGAGGGCTAAGAAACGGCAGTTTGTCCTCTCAGAAAGCTAGCCAGGCTGAAGGACCATGACTACACAGCACATCCACCCGCAGGTAAAAAAATAGTATATTGCGAGTTGTGCGCAAGGCCCGGGAGGTTGCGCGCATGCGCGAGGCCCGGGAGGTTGCGCGCATGCGCGAGGCCCGGGAGGTTGCGCGCATGCGCGAGGCCCGGGAGGTTGCGCGCATGCGCGAGGCCCGGGAGGTTGCGCGCATGCGCGAGGCCCGGGAGGTTGCGCGCATGCGCGAGGCCCGGGAGGTTGCGCGCATGCGCGAGGCCCGGGAGGTTGCGCGCATGCGCGAGGCCCGGGAGGTTGCGCGCATGCGCGAGGCCCGGCATGCGCGAGGCCCGGGAGGTTGCGCGCATGCGCGAGGCCCGGCATGCGCGAGGCCCGGGAGGTTGCGCGCATGCGCGAGGCCCGGGAGGTTGCGCGCATGCGCGAGGCCCGGGAGGTTGCGCGCATGCGCGAGGCCCGGGAGGTTGCGCGCATGCGCGAGGCCCGGGAGGTTGCGCGCATGCGCGAGGCCCGGGAGGTTGCGCGCATGCGCGAGGCCCGGGAGGTTGCGCGCATGCGCGAGGCCCGGGAGGTTGCGCGCATGCGCGAGGCCCGGGAGGTTGCGCGCATGCGCGAGGCCCGGGAGGTTGCGCGCATGCGCGAGGCCCGGGAGGTTGCGCGCATGCGCGAGGCCCGGGAGGTTGCGCGCATGCGCGAGGCCCGGGAGGTTGCGCGCATGCGCGAGGCCCGGCATGCGCGAGGCCCGGGAGGTTGCGCGCATGCGCGAGGCCCGGCATGCGCGAGGCCCGGGAGGTTGCGCGCATGCGCGAGGCCCGGGAGGTTGCGCGCATGCGCGAGGCCCGGGAGGTTGCGCGCATGCGCGAGGCCCGGGAGGTTGCGCGCATGCGCGAGGCCCGGGAGGTTGCGCGCATGCGCGAGGCCCGGGAGGTTGCGCGCATGCGCGAGGCCCGGGAGGCTGCGCGCATGCGCGAGGCCCGGAGGCTGCGCGCATGCGCGAGGCCCGGGAGGCTGTGCGCATGCGCGAGGCCCGGGAGGCTGTGCGCATGCGCGAGGCCCGGGAGGCTGTGCGCATGCGCGAGGCCCGGGAGGCTGTGCGCATGCGCGAGGCCCGGGAGGCTGTGCGCATGCGTTTTATAAAGCGGATGTGGGGTTGGACAACTTCCGGTGGCTATAGCGTTAGCATTAAAAGGCTAGGAAAATGACTCCATCTCGGCGCAGTTGTTTTTGTTCAGTCCCTTATCTGTCATATCAAACGTTCCCGACGGACCCGGACCAACGGAGGCAGTGGATCCAGGCGATCCGAAGAGATGAAGATCCGGACTTTTGCATAAAGACGGGGAGCACTTTCGTATGTAGTCGCCGCTTCACACCACCAGCCGCCTTAAAAGTGGAGCTGTTCCTTCCCTGTTTGCCTGGAAGAACTTCACTGCACCGGCAATGAGAGAGTCTGCTTTCGAGAGGGCTAAGAAACGGCAGTTTGTCCTCTCTCAGAACGGACAAATGTATGTATTTCGATGTATTTTAAGGTACACAATCAAAATCACATGTGAATGCATTTGTTCACGTGATAAGTCATTTAGAAGATGGAAATGCAGCTAAAATTGCATTTAAAAACCCTTCGGTTGTTCCCACTATAATTACATTAAAAATAATAAGATTTGGGTCACATTTGTCTGCAGTGTGAATGAAGCCCATGATACGTTTACTGTCATTTCTGAGACACAAAGTTGTAAATTTCTGTGTGCCACACCTTTGACCTGAAAGTACCCAGTTCTGTTTGTGCATGTTCTTGGTGACTGTAATGACTGTGTACATCACTGGTTTTCTGAAAGCCTGATGTAAGGCTAAAGTAAAATTACAATCAATGTTGAGTTTTTTTTTTTAAAGCCGTAATGACAGAACAAGCACATAAACTGTTGTAAAAGATTAACCTCTGTGTTTTGCTAATATATAATCATTTAAGACCGGTTCCTCTTGAGCACTGCAGTACGATATGAATATAAGGTTCTTGTTCGCATAAAAAAACACTGCCTGCAGTGCTATTTTTTTTAGATAAAATATTTTATAATGTAGAAAAATAAAATATTCTTCAGAAAACTAAACAGGTGCTACCATCAGCACTCTAGATTTTGACAGAAGATGAATGAGTCCATTGTGTAATGTTAGTAGAAAATGTTAATAAATCAACAGTTTTTACAAACACTTTTTTATTACAACATTCAGGGACAAAAAGGTGTTTGCACTATTTTCAGAAACCTCAAAATCCTCCACAAGAAATTGTTTCCCAACGTCTTTTCTCAGAGATCAAATACTGTAAATAAACTGACGCTGTGTATGAGCTGTGGCTTCTTTTGTTTTGTTTTTCATCCCTGAGAGAAAACCAAACTTTTTTTTTTCCCTCCTCACAACTCCTCATGCCTCGCCTGCTCCCGTTCCTTGTCCTCGTCGACTTTTAGTTTGAGCTCGCTGGCAGTGATCACGGCGTCTTTGTTGCGGTCCTGGTTCTGAAACATGTCGGCGACGATCTGCTCCATGGTCATTCCCGGCTTTATCCGGCCTTTTCCTCCTGCAACCTGGAGCTTGATAAACTCTGTGAACTAAAAGACAGAGAAGCAAAATGATGAAAAGGCAAATCAGGAAAAGTACTGTAGTTAAAAAAAAAAATCTGTTATTCCTAATATTACCACCAGGTGGAGTCATACTTTTGTAGAACTGTAGAAAATACTTTTTCCTGCATCATCATGCCTGACTACAGTAAGTTAATCATTCTACCAGAACAAAATGTAATTAAATATTCCAGAAATACATCCAGGTGTGGAATATATTCCAATTTTATTCTAAAAGAAATGAAGAGGAATTGTAGGAAACATACCTCATCCAGTGGCACCTCTCCATTCTTGTTCATATCCATAGTTTCAAACAGATCTGCTGGAGTGTCCTCAAGCCACACAAACAGGTAACCGGGCGGGACACCACGCTCAAAGCTCACCATTTCAATGCTGAAGACCAGAACGGCACTGCTTGGTACACCAGCAGCTGACAGACAACAAGAGACCGACTTTAGATTGTAGAGGCTGTGTCCATACAAACCACAGGAGAGACTAATCTTACCGAGAGATGAATATTAATCTATGAAACAATTGTTTTAGTGAAACTCTGAGTTACAGATTTAAGTCTCAGGACATCTCAAAATAAAAATATCTTGGTTACTTAAATAAACAATATAAATTCCTCATAAGCTTATAGACTAACGGTTTGATTTTCAACTGCTCAAAACTTCACAGTGAAGTTGAAAATCAAGGTATTTCTGTCACCTGCATATGTCTACTTGTCAAGGTTCAATCTAAGGCTACGTTCACACTGCAACAAAGTGTCCCAATTCCGATATTCGGATATAAGCGATCTGTATGTTTTCTCCGGTGTGAAAGTGTCCCGCATGCGCAGTAGGGGGCGCAATAATTTCACACATCGTGCATCTCTGTTTGCTGCAGTTAACGGTTTGCTAACGGTTTTAGCTTACGATTTTAAAGTTGTTGTCCGGCCGCAGCCAGCACATTAACAACTTGATCCTTATTTCAGTCCGCCATTGTTGTTTTTCTTCCTGCTTTTGGTATCAAGAGGCAGAATAGTGACGTTTATCGAGCATCAGTGTTGTTCGGCCACATTTGAATCGATACGTATCAGATATCCACGTTTTCTCCCTCGCTTTCGATAAAAATCCGACCTGTGTTATTCAGGGTGTCATGAACAGATACACAGTTCCAATTATGTGAATAAAAAGTGGAATTGGGTCACTTCCGGCCGCAGTGTGACGCACCCTAAGATGGCTGCTCCAATCTCACCTCCTTTCTCTCCATGTCCGAGGTGAGGCGGCACTATAATCCTCCTCTTCTCTCCCACACACATGCCCCTCAAGCCTTCATCCAGCCCATCGATCACCTTGTCCTGGCCCAGAACTGCGTCTTGCATGTTCTCATAGTCGTGCCTAGAGGCCGTACAAATGAAAACAATGCTCAGCTGGTTTCAGGCGGAGGCTGGAAAAACGGGCGGAAACTTACGAGGAAAAGAGCAGAGTCCCGTCCAGCAGAGTGCAGTTGTAATGGTAGCGGACCAGGTCGTTCAGAGTCGTAGTGTCGTTGCACACTTCCGGTTTGTAGGTTACCTCGATCTCCACTTTGTCGCTTGGGTTGTGGAAGTCGATGACGTGGACGTCAAAGACCAGGACGGCTGACGGAGGGATCACGTCACCTGAACACACCGCCGACAAATTATTTCATCCTAACGGAAACACGTAAGTTCACCCCAAAGTACTAGCTTGAATGTTGACTTCCGCTCGATTCTAATAACTTCACGGGCCGTGAACTTTTAGTGTGTTTGTTCATTAAAAATGAACTGAAAAACCAAAAACACGCTAGCTTTTTTTGCGCTCAGTCTGGCTCTCTCCCATTGGCCCGGTAGAATTTCATCCGGGCCAATCACCGAACAGAAGAAGTTGTGAACGATGACGTCAATTTTCTGTTGGCAGTAGCTGCTAGCAACGCTTCCGAATATTAACGCACATCTGGTTCGGTTCGGTTCTGCTCTCTTTGCAGTGGACAATCGTTGTTAGCAACAAAGGCAAAGTTTACGGTAAGCAAGTTTTTTTTTAACATAAATTTTATTTCGACAGGAAAATAATCGAAAAAAAATGAGGTTACAAGATACTGAATTTCTGTAATAAATTGACAGTTTTTGATGAACTTCAAGGTATTGAACATCACAGCTAAACGCCAAGTATTGGGTAAGGTTTTAAATTTCAACAGCGTCCATGTTTCAAGAAATCGTTTCTCCAGGGTCCAGATCTTCTGTACACATCAGTTATGACCAGAAAAATGTTAAACTTTTTTTCTTGCAAATTTGTGACTTTTAAAAAACTCAAAAATGTCCAAAAAAATTTTTTTTCCAGAAAATTTTACGGGGTTTTTTTTGGCAGAGATTTAATCCCATCTTTCTACAATAGAAAATCTAGTTAAACACCTAGTATTTATCCCCAGATGTTTGATTTTAAGGAAAACTGACTTTCTTCATGCTTTTCCTGCAGTAACTCACCCGCTCCTTGTTCTCCATAAGCCAGGTGAGGAGGAATGACGACCCTCCTCCTCTCCCCTAGGCAGATCCCCAGGAGGCCCTGGTCCATTCCTGGGATCACGTAGCCCATCCCGATGTAGGTGTTGTATGTGCTGTTCCTCTGGTAGCTTCAATAAGCAGATAAATACCGTAAAAGTTTTGATTTCAACTTCCAACCACAAGAATTCAACAAAATATATAATCCATGTTGAGATGTCTACACACCTGGTGTCAAAGGTCACCCCGTTCAGGAAGGTACCATTGTAGTGGTACCGAATGTAGTCCCCCACCACAGACTTGCGGGTGCAGGGCTCAGGAGCCTCCTGGCTCTCGATGGTGATGTTATCCTTCGGGTTGTGAATGTCCTCCAATAGGACGTCAAACACCAGCGTTGCCTGAGGGGGAATCATGGTTCCTGTCACACAGACACAACCAATGACATGAGATGTTATAACCCAAATTACTGTTATGCTTTAACCAAAAACGCAGCATTTGAAGTCATTGTGCGGGAAAAACCTTTATTTTTTATTCTTTGTAACCTCATTAGGTATGCTGAGTGAACCATTTTATAGCTGAGAAAGGTTCCATTTTTCTCTTTTTTATTTTAATCTATATTTTGAGAATAAAGTTGAAATAATACAAGAATGAAATCATAACATTTGGAGAATATGGTCAAAATAATAGACGCATCATATTTTGAGAATACATCATAGTGCCATGGGAATGAAGTCAAACTATTAGAATAAACTCATAATAATATGAAAATAAAATTGTAATATTATGAAAATAAACTCAGTATTAATGCAGAATAAATGTGAGAACAAAGCCATAGCATTATTAGAATAACGTCAAAACATTACAAGAATAAAGTCATGACATGAGAGGAAGGTCTTTATTCTAGCATCACCCTAACACTCCATCATATGAAGATTGAAATTAGGAAAGCTCTCGTGTCGTGTCTGCCATGTCTTCCTACCAGATCCCTTTTCTCCGTACGCTTTGAACGGTGGGATCACGATGTGCCTGACCTCCCCCACACACATGCCCAGCAGGCCCTCGTCCATGCCCTTCACCAGCCAGCCCTCGCCCACCAGTGAGTTGTAGGTCTGCTTCCTGTTGTAGCTGCGTGGGGCTCATACAAGCTCAAAGTCAGTCACACACATAAGTGGACACAGAAAACACACCTGGACACAGCACAGACACACACAGGTTGCCGATTTGGTTCTGTTTTGTTTCATTTAGACACCATTTTCAGTTTAACTTCTGCTGAGAAGCTGTGGAAATCTCTCAGTTGAAATAACAAAACGTCCAGAACTCACCTGGAGTCGAAGGCGGTCCCGTCCAGCAAAGTGCCGTTGAAGTGGTAACGCACAAAGTCTGTGCGCATCACGGAGCGTTTGCAGTCTTTGGGCGTGCTGACGGTTCTGGTGACGACCAGGTCGGCCTTGTTCCACAGATCCAGGAGGTGGATGTCGAACACCAGCGTGGCGTCTGGAGGCACCGCATCACCTGGAAGCAAAAGGTCACCATGAGTTTAATTCAACAGTTTCATTATCACTGTTTTACTTTAAATTGACCCTTTTTGTGCAATAAATATTACATATAATTATCATAGTAATGGGGTTTCTGCATTTGCAACAAAAACTTATTTCAATTCGATTTTGAAACAAAACAGTCTTACTAAACTGGTTCAGTAAAAACAACAGAGACGATGCATCGTTTGTTGAAATTCAGAAATAAAAGAATCATTTTTAAACTTCACGTCACCAAGAAAGAAAAAGAAAATAGCCTGTAAACCAGTTTCAGTTAATTTTTTCAGAACATGACAACAATATAAAATCACACACATGAACAAGGAATGCAAAAGAAACATTTTTGTACCACAATAATCTAAACATCCTCGAAAAGGAGTAGGAAGAAATAAGAAACTTATGAATTCCTACCCCATAAACTCATGCAATATGTTCAGATATACCCATATTATTAAATAAAAAATTTTGAAATACATAGCTTTATTAATTTTCCATTTTACCTGGGATTACACATGTCGAAATATACAGGGTTCTGCAGGGTATGATAACCCTGCCCCCACCAGGCTAAGCATTTATAATTTGGTTAAGTTTTTTTTTTTTTTTTTTTTTTTTTTTTGCATTTTTAAGACTTTATAGTTAATCTCCCAATAACATATAATTATCAAGTGATATTTTCAAACTTCCCGTCAACTTTAAACTTCTTTTTAAGTCAAGAACAGGACAGGCTGCTGGATGACGCCCAATCACCAGATGTAGCAAGTTTTCTTGGGGAAACCTTGATTTATTGATTCATAGCCACACACTAATATTCATTAGCCTCAATTTACACATGTGCTGACTTACTCTCACTCATATTTCTATATCTTGTGAAAATACCTATTTTTATTTCCTTTTAAATTGCCTTTGCTCCTATAATAACATGTTCGATCATTTTCCGCCAGCACATAGTAGGATGGCCTAGTCAAAGTTTAGACCCAGATCGTGCAAGATTTGAAATAAATTCCAGTTAATCTGACTGATACTGAACTTTTTTTATGTTAGATGCAACTGCAGGGGTTGGTTTTCTGTAAAAGATGTGGAAAGCTTTGAATTATTTTTGTAGCAGTTTAAAATATTCCCCCAAAAATTAAGCTCTACCTGCCCCGCTGCTCCCGTAAGCCAGGTGTGGCGGGATGGTGATTTTCCTGCGCTCGTTCACGCACATCCCCTGCAGGCCTTTATCCACGCCGGCGATGAGCCGACCCTCCCCGATCAGGCCGACTTTGGCTGCTCCTTTCTCATAGCTGCGAGTGAGAAAAATCCCCGTTGTTTGCGGGAGAAAATGTCAGAAGTGGGTCAACGTCTGGAGGATGTTTGTGTCTGCAGGGGATGCATGTTAGTGGAAGCTGCGGGCTTGTTTTAACCTGCATTTTCACTCGGGAAAAGCTTCCAAAGTTTTTTTTTTTTTTCCGGTCTCACCTCGAGTCCAGCGCCTTCCCGTCGGTGAACGTGGCGTTGTAATGGTAGCGGACGTAGTCTCCAGTTTTCGCCTCCCTCGCGCAGTCTTGGGGGATCTGGTATCTGTCCACGACAACGTCTCCCAACACGGGACTGGGATTACACTCCACAGAAAACCACGCAGCCAGAACAGAGAAGACAACACAAAGGGGAAGCATTCTGACACAAATTACTTGAAAGTGATGCGACAGCAGCAGAAAAATGGACATCAGGCCGAATTGAAAAGAAAAGAAGGCGATCGGAGGGCCTGCGTGCGGGGAGTGCGTTTTTCCACGCAGAGGGCTGCGGATGTGGAGCAGGGCTGTAAACGTGGACAATCTCCAGGTCGCTAAGACTTTTTTTTCTCTTTTTTAAGAGTGGGAGGAATGTTAGAGGGAGTGGGAAGCACTTCAGTTCAAATTTCCACAATAAGAAATAAGAAGCTTCTTCAGTGAGTCCCAGTAGATCCAACCAAACCTGAGAAAACATCCAGTTTGTTTCCAAGTTTATTTACTCTAAACGGTTTTCTCTGCAACTTGTTGCTTTTCAATAAGTTTAACGAAGTTTGATGTTTTCAGAATCTTAAAGTTCATCTTATCCTGAATACTTAAAGGAGGGCGTTTATTGCAGATTTTATTTTGAAGTCAGCGATGCAGCTGCAGAGGTCCGCCTCTCAGCCCAAAACAACAGCAGATCAGTGGCTGTTTCAGGCAGCGTCCACTGTCTGACCAGTTGAACCAATCATGTTTTTAGCTGAGACAAAAGTGTGGAACGCTTTAACTAGGCCAAATGATTCACGTAATGATAATATGAATAATATCAATAATTAAGGACTTGTTTGTATAGGGACCCATAGGTGACACAATTCAATAAATCAGACTGTGCTTCTAATAAATATTGTAACTGTAAGAAAATACAGATAATTTAACAAATGGATAATTAATTTATATGTATTAATTACACATACAAAACTAATAAAAAAAAAAAACAAATGACTGTGCATTGACTTTACTTTGGATGAAGTATGCTGGGGCCTGTAACCACTCACATTTTCCGCACATCCATGCATCATCTTTTTATTGGCGATGCTGCGTCCTGTGGGTTGACGTATACGTCACGAAATTTCGCGCACGCGCAAAACGCTGGAGGTCATGGTCTTTGTCAAGAACAATCCTGTTATACGATTGAAACCTGGAGACAGGTGTTATTCATTTTGGGCTGTGCAGCACAGCAAATGGAAGAATAACGCAGAAAAACAAAACAAATCAAAATCACATATTTTTACAGCCTCGTTGCCATAGCAACTGACACCACTTATGTCACCAAAACAACACAAACATTTCCCCACATAAAACAGAACATTCAGTCCGTCACATTATCACAGTTTTAGGCTCGATGTTTATTTTGTGATCATTAAGATAAACAATCGCTGTGGCAGATTAGCTGCCGCTGCTATTAGCTAAGCTAACTCTGCGGCGGTTGATCAGCTTAAACTTGCTCTACTTATGATCTGTAAGAATTGGTGTGTAGGTCGCCATTTTTTATATTTTTTTTTTGAAACAAAGCAAACCAAATTCCACATCACATCTCCGTGTTAAGGTTGTCGTGTACTTTTCCTCGCTATTTCTTAAAACGTTTTCCTGATCTTCCCAGCTAGCTAGCATCAACGGCTAGCTAGCATCAAATGTTCAGAGCACGTTCTCTGACGATGACGTTTTTTCCGGACACTTTAAAACACCACTAAACGTCATCTAGATGTTGTAGTGTTGACAATTGGTAGCAAAGGGACCGTGTTCCTTTTTTTCGTGTCAAAAACAGTCACTGGGTTTATGGTTTAACCCTTTCAGGCTCAAATTACTTGCAAAGACTAGCTAAGTAGCACTGAGCTGTTGCAAATCTGCAACATCTGCCTGGAGAGGGTTAAGAAGACAAAACCAGTTTAAGAGGATTTGAAACAGACAAGCTAACATACTGCTAAGAGAAATAAACCTGGTCAGTAAACTCTGGTTTAGACGCTGAGAAATTCCCAATCCCAGAATTCCCAGAAGCCCCTGATCGCTGCAGCAGACCACCAGATCACAAACACCGCAGCAGAAGAAAGGAGGGAGGCACAGGAATGTTTTTTTTTTATTATGGCTGGACTGAGCGCAAAAGGAGGCTCGTATTTAATATCCCTAATACTTTTCTGTATGAACTTTGTGTTTATTAACACATCCGCACAACACGAGAGTCTCATGAGTTTTCCCAAAGAACATCTCATTCCTCTCACCGCAGCCTACGGACTGGCGCTGGACAGATACGCAGCCGGAAACTGGACCGAATCTATCCAGTACTTGGAGCTGAGTTTGCGTTTGCACCGACTTCTCAGGGAAAGTGTGCGGTTCTGCTCGGTCCAGTGTAACCGCAGCGGTCATGAGGAGCCGCTTTTCCCCGCAGCATCCCCGGATCTGAGCGCCTACTGGCGCGTCCTGAGGACGGCGTCCTGTCAGAGGACATGCAGGGCGCGTCTCCCGGTCCTGCAGCTGCCGCCTCCCGACACCGAGATCATGGACGAGTTCAGCAAAAGAGCCCCGTACAGATATCTGCACTTTGCTCACGCTAAGGTAGGAAACAGAGTGGGGAAGGTAGTAGTGTTTCATGCTGAGTGTTTTTTATTTGAATGAAGAACAAACATGTTTTAACCAAAGATTCACCACACAGACACACACCTGCAGTTTGTGTTACTTTCGTAAGTTTCATATAGAAAGAAATGTATTTTTATTGCAGAACCAGAACCAGACACGCTGCATTTAGCTTCTGGAACAAACTTCCTGAAAACTGCAAAACAGCCCAGAGAGCCTTTAAATCCAGACAAAAACCCACTTGTTTAGAGTTGCTTTTGAAACATAATAAATAAAACATCAAAAATCTGATGTGAAATGACAGCAAAATGTTTCAGTAGTTATTGTATGACTCTGTGTTTTTATGATATAAACATTTTGAAATGCCTTGTTGCTGAAATGTGCTCTACAGATAAAGGTTGATCAATTTTTGTCATTTTGTTACTTATATGAATTATTGTCATTTTCGTTCTTGAAACATCACATTTTTTTATATTTTGTCCCTTTGATGATGTAATTTTAAATATTAAGTGATAGATAATTTGACCAGTTACTCTACTTGAGGAAACTTTTTACCAAATACTTTTTTACTCTTTTTTCATTTATTGGAAGATTACTTTTTTTTACTTTTACTTAAATAAAAATAGGTTGAAGTCGTGTTTCTCTTACCTGACTATTTTCTTGGATGGTGTCTTCTGGATCTTTTTGCATCCCGTTAAGGTCCTGCTTTGACTCCTGTTTTAAATTTCCAGCTGATTATTATTTTTCTCCAGGTTTTCCTGTCTTACTTCTGTTCCCGTCTGTGTCCAGCTGGACGACTTGCAGCAGGCCGTCCCGTGCGCCTACACTTTCCTACAGAGGAACCCCGAGGACCAGGAGATGCTTCAGCTGATGGAGGAGTACAAGAATGAGTACGACCTCGACGGCTTCCTCATCGACCACGAACAACAACTTTATGAGGTGGGGCAAAAAGGCAAGACACAAAATTATGCAAATGTTCTGAGGGGGAAAAATATTTTTACTTTACCCCATTTGAATTAAAATCACAACTGATATCTTGACGTTTTCTCAACTTTGACCCTTGTGACTTAGAGTACCCCAAAATTTTACTCAAATGAAAGTAGTACTACTCCAACATATTTTTTATTAAATTAAAGTAAAAAACAACTGTCCAAGAGGAAAAAAGTATTTGATAAAAAGTGAAATTATCAATCATTTAATATTTAAAAATGACATAATTAGATGAAACAAAATATAAAGTTATGTGGAAATTTTGGTATTTTTTAATGACCAAAATGATAATTCATTTAAGTAACAAAAACAAACCAAAAAAAAGGAAAAAAAATTGGATTTTTCTTTTTTGAATCAGTTTCTTTCTATAAAAACTTGTGAAACTTTAACAAAAGCTGCAGGTTTTCCATTCAGTGGGCGAAAAATCCAGAAACTTTACTCAAGTAAGAGTAGAAATACTTCATAATAAATGTAATTCAAGTAAAAAGGTAAAAGTAAAAAGAACAGTGTAGTAAAAAACATGCCTAAAAGTCTTTTTTTTTTTTTTTTCAAAAATGTAACCGAATAAATGTAACTAGTTACTTCCCACTTTTTCAAAATGTTTTCAGCCATCCTTCATCAGCGGCGTGAAGCTTGTGGACTTGGGGAAATACAGCAGCGGTTCTGAGCGCCTGGAGGAAACGCTGAGACTCTACCTGCAGGAGTACGACCTCTGTCAGGCCGAATGCGACGGGATCGGCCATTTTTCCTCACACACAGACTTCTACGCTCTATTAACCGGTAAATATGCAGTAATTAATTAATCATGAACCCAAGGCTTTGATTCTGTAAATCCTATGATTTTTCTCCAGCAACATCAAAATGGATGTTTAATTTGTTTAAAAACTATTGATTCAATTCCTGGAAGAAAACTTTTATGGCAATTAGAATCCAGTTGATTATTTATCCTTTCTGATGAAATATAAATTAAATAGTACTGAGTAATTTTGAGCTTATGGTATTTTTACAAAAATAAATGCAATTGAAAAATAATTACAATCTATAAATCAACATAATAAACTACACACAGTAATTTTTTTTATGAATACACTGGAAAAAAAAGAGAATGGGGCTCCAACCTAAAAAAAAAATATTTATTACATGTAATCAAATTAAGTTTGTTGAACATATTTTATTTAAGGGAATTAAGTTTAATATATTTATCTGGATGAACTTAATTTGATGACTTGTAACAAATTAAATAATTCTTTAGAACTGGATTTTCTTTTCGATAATGTTAAGTGTAAGATCCTAGTATTTATTTTGTAAATATACATTTAGTGAAATCACTTTTCTGGCTGAATGCTGCAGAGACAGCAAACAGGCAAACGGTGAGAAACTCAGAAAGGTTTTCTGTGTTTTATTGCTGGTGAAGTGTTTTATGGTTATACCACAAATTAAAATGAAAATCATATCAAGAAAATGTCTGAAACATCTCAGCTGCTTTTTATTTTTCTCCACAGAAGTCTACCTTGACACTTTAAAATGCAAGATAAAGTGTGAGGAAAACCTAAAGCCCAACGTTGGCGGCTACTTTGTGGAGAACTTCGTTCCCACTATTTACCACTACCTCCAGTTTGCCTATTACAAACGTAAGTTCAGCTCGAGTCGAGCTTCCCAGTACTGCATATTCTTGTTTCTGTTGCTGCTGATGTACTTGTGTAATTGTCTGTGCAGTGAACGACGGCCGCAGAGCCGTGCCCTGTGCGTACAGCTACTTCCTGTTCCAGCCAGAAGACCCGGTGATGAAGGACAACCTGCTGTACTACGAGGCCTACAGCCCACAGTGGGGCCTGCAGTCCCATCACTTCACACCCAGAACAGTAAGAGAAACTTTATCTGAAGAAAACCAACAGGAAACTCAGGAAAATGAGACAAAGAACGGATAAAACCTTCAGCTCTGAGTGAAGCAGTCCAAGTTTGTTTGTTTGAATTAGCCGTAACAATGGCTCCTCTTCTGGATGTTCACATCATAAAAAAGCATTTCATACAAAAACACACACTTAATATAATATTAAAATTAGGGACACTATATTATCGGCATGGTATCGGTATCAGACATCTTTTAGAACTCACTGATATAAAAGTTGTTTTTATATGACAAACCAGTGACAGTGTTGCCTGCAGCACAGCACAACATTGAATTAGCAGTGTTTGGGTATTTTTATTGTTTTAGAGAGAGCAGATGTCATGAATAAATTTGACATTAAACAAGTTTAAAGTGTTGCATCATTTTCAGGTTCATTTTTAGCATTTGGTAACAGGCTAAACTGACAAAGAGTTGCAGTATTTTAAATCCATGGTGGAGAAAGCCGTATAGTTTCAGGAAGTAGGTGTAGGGGAAAAAATATCGTCACTGGCCAAATGAGTTTTAGTACATCTGCAAATGTCAACGCAGGATATTGACCAAAAATCCAATATCCTGCATCCCTAATTAAAAACATAGCATATTAATTCATAACTCTGTAGTTATATATATGCTCAAATATTTGAAAGTCCTGTTTTTATTCCTAAAAAAATATATCTTTTTTGTCCAGCATTCTTGTTGCATGGTGGGAGAGTAAATCAATCTTTTGGAGAATGTCTTGTTTTAAAATTGTGTAAAGATTTGGCTAAATAAAAGTTGATTGTATAAAATAATTAGTATCTTAAAACTACAATATTTCTAAAAAAATTTTAACTTATTTTCAACCAACTTATGTTTTACAAATTGTAGTTTTGTTAAATGTTTTGAACCACTTCAGGGAGCGATATCAATATTCAATCAAATCAATATTTATCTGCATACTTCCAAATTACATCAATCATCTCATGCAGTTTTTTCACAAAAATTTATGCAAAATCAACAGATCACTTTTTCATGCTAATGAATAACTGAGTTAATTGGAAGTTTTCCACAAAAATGGTCAAAACATTGAGTTGAAGTGATGCTGGCTCCCACCTGCAGGTGGCAGTATTTCTTACTTGTACTAAACTGCTGCATCAGCCTGACTTAATGTTTTTAAAGTTATTGTCTACAATCGATGCGGAGAATTGCTAAAAGTCATTTTCACCATCATAGAAAAGAGCAAATATAACATTTCTTGCAAGTATTTCTAAATTAGCTCCCGGAAAAATTGTCATTTTGAAATTAGAGCAACTTAATGGTGCAGCCTGACTAAATAGTTTTTTAAAAGTAGATATATATTTAAAGCCAGCTATAATGACAGCATGTTGTCTCCTTCTGATATGATTTGTTTTATCAGGAAGCTCTTCGACATTACAATCAGACCATCACTCAAAAACAAATGTTGATGTTTCTAATGAAGTACTTGGAGGCGAATGATGAGGTAAGATTGACAAAACTTAATTCTTTAAACATTTTGTCTTATTTAACTCTTTTTTTATCGTCAGTGATTCAGTCAGTAAAGTCTGGCTTTGTAATATTTTTGTTAAGGGTTTTAGCGGACCAGAAGAAAATCCACTTTCGTCCTCTGAGTCTCCTGATGCCGAGTTTGAAGGTGTGGGAGATTATGAAGAGTCCATGTTTGCAAAATGGAGGCAGAAGAAAGGAAAAGGAGACGCAGGAGAGGCCGACATCTGAACTCAAGCAGTTACAGCTTCAGCTCTGCTGTCTTCAGGAATGGTAAACTTAAATTTATTTAAAATAGTGCCATAATAATAATCATTTTAAGCATATTTATGCTATGAAGTTTTTTTTACCCTGTTTAACAAAACAACAACCACTGTTATAATGCCACATTAAATGTCCAGAAAGAGTTTGAAATGATTCATCAGGCTTTTCTTTTAAATCACAAAAACCAAAGTATTTTGCTTTTTGTTTTTATTCTTGTTTATTGTAACTTTTAATTTAGCTCTGTTCAGCTAAATTATAAAGCACCTTTTCCAGATGTTTGTTTTAAAATGTTTTCTATAAATAAATAACATTTTAGTTTCTACTTTTATTAAATAACCCAAAAATCTTTCCTTCAAGTTGTTTTTTTTTGGATGAGGAAATTGGTAACAATATTCTCTTAGTCTAAAATTATCTAAGGTATTAAACATCCTTCCAACCCTAATCTAATCCCAATTCTAGTCATCTTTCCAATCCTAATCTAATCCCAATTCCAGTCATCTTTCCAATCCTAATCTAATCCCAATTCTAGTCATCCTTAGATGATTCCAACCCTAATCTAATCCCAATTCCAACCCTGTGATTGTAGGTCAAGATGCCAGTCATAGTCTTGTGGCTATTCTTCTATTTATCTCATTTTATCTGATAATCTGTTTTGACCTTAAAGTTTAGCTTTGTAAACTGTTCTACATAAATTTCTAACACTCTTTGATTGGAATTTTTGGCATTGACTAAAAGTTTTCACTCCTCATTTACAGTTCTTATATTTGCATTTTGCAGGGTTTTGCTTTTTTCTGCCTCTTCTGCATGTGAGTTCAAACACAGTTTTCACTAAAAATACTCCGCTCACAGCATTCAAATTGTATTTTTGCAGGAAATGCAAAGTTTTCTAGTTTCTTCCCATTTTTAAAGTAGAGAAGTGCAAATAAACACCAGAAATGACAAACATTTTCAGGTATGTTTTTAATATACTGTTGTCAGAGTTTGCACTGGAAGTCAGGAGTAAATGGTGCTAAAATCTGCAACCAACTACAACATGTGATCAAAAACAGGACAAACAGTCACGGTCCGAGTTTTTTGCCAAATCCGATCTTGAGTAGCGACAGTTTCAGTTTAATCACATCCTGCCAACCATTCCAGCTTGTAGTTCTGATTAAAAAGGCTTTAAAATCAAATATGTTGAGATTTTCCTTTAATGTTGATGTACTGGCAGTGAAATTTGGATTATTTTTTACTGGCATCAATGCCAATGCCCCGTTGATCGATGTTAGAAGGTGACATCAGATGTTTACCCTGTAGTAACAGTCCAGATGCTCTGCTTTAAACGTGTTTATTGCTAATGTGAACCCTTTGGACCTTGTATTGTTTTTATGCTTTCCTCAGTTTGACAGCACAATTGCATGAATTTACTTTGTTTAAAAGCTAAAACGTCAATGTATTTTATTGGAATTTTATGTCACAGATCAACACAAAGTGGTGCATTTTTTTGAATTGGGAGGAAAAATCCACTTTATGCAGGAGTCAAGTGGCAAAAATGTTAGTTTTTAATGGGAAAAGATGGTAAAGATACAGCCCAAAAGCTGCTGCTCATCAAGCACATAAAATTCCAGGTTTACACATTTAAATGTAATAAAGTTACTGCATCAATATTTTTGCAAAACACAACATGACGTTTCCAGTCTGATTTGGTTGTTTTATGGTCAAATCGCCCCCAGGACAGATTTTGGACCCTTTCTGGCTAATTGTTCAGCGGCAGGCAGGAAGAAGAGTCTCCAATAAAAGACTTGTGCTTCCGTTCACGGTGGCAGTGAATCACTGCTGTCACTTGAGTCCCAAAGCTTTTACTACAGCACCATATCTGTATGCATAAGTACAGTCACATGGAAACGTTTGGGAATCCGACAACCTCCATAATAATTCACGCTAAATTTCCAAGCAGCATCTTCAAACTGGGGCGATCTCTGAAGAAAACAAATGGTGATTTAGTAGATTATTTAACTTATGACAAAATGCAGAGAAAAGAACAACTTTTGAAACTTTTCCAAAAACATTTCCAAGTTTCTTTTTTCCCAGGAATATTTCTGATTAATTTTATAATTTCTGTTCAGCAAATGTTTGATTTTTGAAATTCAGAAATTTCAATGGTTTTTTTCCAAGAAAATTTCTGAAATTAAGCTCAAATGTATTTTTTTTTTCTCACAAATTTTTAACTTTTGAAACCTGAAATTTTCATGCTTTTGTCTTTCTAGAAAATTTCTGACATTAATCTAAACATTTCTATTTTTTCACTTTTTGGTAAAACTAAACTCCTTTTTCTTTCCTATTGGCCCCAATGTGCCGTCATATTTTATGGATGCGATAAAAGCTTCTATCTGTAACTTTCCCTCAGTTACTCGAGAATCACAACATGAGTCCATCATTGTTGCAAAACTGGAAAACTGCAGACTAGCCAGCTCTGTGTGGTCTGTGTAGTTTTTCCTGCCAGTATGGCCCCTGGCGGTTGCATGACAACATCTTACAAAGAAGAAAGCATAATGTCTGAAACTCCAACAAACATATCGCCATTCAAATATTGGCTTTCCTTCATAAGTAAGTTGCAACTTTGAAAGCCGACATGAGGAGGCGTTCCCAAACTTTTTCATATGCCTGCACACATGTAGATATATTTTATATGGAAGTATTTATTTTACAGCAGGGAGAATACATTCAGTGCAAACTAACTGTCCCTCAGATTTCCTGTCAAGGCAGCATAAAAGGAGAAATTATGGCTCTTATTGTGGAATGTACCATTCTAATCTAAAAAGCCAGCATTCAGTAACAGTTTGTGGATTTTACACTGCAGAAAGGAGATAGTTGTGCTCTCCAGCAGTTCATTAAAATACCTAAAGGGTAATGCGCAATAAAAGTCCAAACTACTACGTTAGACAGGAGGACGAAACGGGAAGTGATGCAGACTGTAAGTTAGGAATCGGTTCCCAGGAACTAGTGGCGACCAGCTGAAGGAGCGCCGTAGTTCTCAGGTTTATTCTTCCAGGCAGACTAAACTCAGCCGGAGTGAAGATCAACAAAGTCGGAGCAGGAAATGGAAAAACGAAAAGCCCGACGGCTTGTTAAGTGGAAGACGTCTCCATTCTGTCTCCTCAGAGTGGACAGGAATAAAAGAGAGGAGCAACTTAAACTCCTGAAGATCTGGGAACGAGAGGGAAGAAAGAACAGAAAAGATGAGATTAAGAGGAGAAAATGGAAAAAGAGCTTATTATAGACAAAGATTTTAGATCAGGAATATCAGAAAATGAGCCCAAAGAAATTAGATTTACTATTCTCCACTACAATAATAAAATAAAAACCGCTCTAATGATCGAGAAAAGAAAATGCACAAATATTTACGTAAATGTAACTATAATTCAGTATTATAGGTACTTTTAGAACTTTTTGACACTATTAAATGTGGAAAACATGAAATTAAAATTGAAATTCTTTATGGCAAAAGCACATAATTATTTTAGTTTTAAAGCATTTTCAGGATATTATCAGCCTGGCGGGCCACCAGACTTTGCTTGGCTTCACCAGGCTTAGCATTAATTTATCTTTTGTTTTTAAATTATTGCCTTTTTTAAGACTTTATAGTCGGTGTTAGGTATTAATCGTCCAGTCTTCCAAAAATGCGTAACTATCAAGTAATATTTTCAAATTTTCTGTCAACTTTAAACATTTTTAAGTCAAAAACATGGCGGCCGGCTGGATGAACGACTGCCCCAGCACTCCCAGCACCGAGGTTAAAAAGCTTTCTGGAGGAAACCCTGATTTAATTTTCTTATGTCGCAGCAGATTGAGAAACAATTTTCTAAACTTAGCTAATAGAAACCAGTCGATTGGTCAACTGAATGTAAATTATTTTATAATGAACTATAGAACAGAAAATATGAAACAATGAAAACCAAACGTTTGAAATAATTACAAACGTTTGTATATTTTGAATTGCTACATTTTTTTTACAACTATTTATTTAACCCTATTGTGCCCATTAAAAACAGCAAAAAATATATTTAAAAAAAATGTGGAAACAATTTATAAATTTTTTTATTTTTAATGAATGCTATCAGTGACTACAGATAACATAATAATTTATGAAACTTACCACCTTAATTGTGAGTTTTGATAAATCTAAGAATTAATGAAAATGCATAAACACAGCAAAGGTAAATAAATAAAAATTTGAAAAAAAAAAACAGAAAATGGAAAAAATCAAATATGTTTTGTTTTTAAAGTGTAATAACTCTGTTTATCTTGATGTGAATATAATTAACGTCTACAAACCACAGTTTTTCAGTACTGGGTAACAGATGCAAACAAACATAAAACCACTCAGATATCTATGAATATTTTAAAAGTGCTTTAAATTAAAAGTGTGCACAAAACCGAAACTAAGACCAGCGATGTTCCAGGACTGGATTAGGATTAAAATCCTGAGTCGTACCGTCCTTTCCGGATGTTCCTGGATTGGCAGCGGCAACAGGATGAAACAAAAATACTCCAGTCAGATCATCAACCATCACTTATGCGTGAAGCACAAAGAGAAAAACATGCAGTCGGCCTAAAAGCTTCAACAGCGAAGCAGTGAACAGGAATCAGATGAGTTTTCTATCATTTCACAGACTAAACTGCTGCTGCAGGTTCCTGAGATGACAGCAGTAAACGTGTTTGTTCCTTTGGGTGGTGAGACAGAAATCTGCAGTTATATCTACAAATATTAGCAAACAAAACATTTCTAGATATAACTGCAGATTTCTGTCTCACACACTTTTCTCCCAAAATATTGTCAACACTTTTGGTCAAACTAGGATCTGAGGATCAAAGATATTTTCCTGCCAGACACATTTTTCCAAATAAAGTCAATAGTTTAATAAAATACCACAATAATTTATAATTATATTCCAAAACATTCCCTTTAAAAATGTGTCCATTTTGAGCAGTGTCATATTTTCCCATAGAGAATAGTCATTAGCAAATTATATAAATATTCTCTCTGCTTACTGGTAGAGCTGCAGTTCCTTTTTAAACAAGACGTTTATGCTTTAAATATGAATTTAATATCAGAAGATGTAGATTGACAACCTGCACATGCAGCAGCGTAAACAAACAAAGAGACATGCAGACATGCACCGAACCAGGACTCTTACTTAAATCCCCAGCCGGTTCCCCCAAGGATTATTGCAGCCAGCAGAATCGCACCAGCGACCGACCCGATTATGATATTGGTGCCACTGGGACCTGTGGGAGCGAAGTCGGCCAGAATGAGAGCGGAGCGAGAAAGTTTATGTTGTAATGGAAACCTGGAGGATTTCAGACCAAACTGAGGTCTGAAGGAAAAAACATAGCGCTAAATCCAAATATAATCTTTAGAAAAGGTTAAACAGAAACTTGGTTCTGGGGAGAAACTGGAAGTATTCAGAAAGGACTCTTTTAATTTCCCAGCCATCTTGATTTTTAATTTCTGTACACAGTTTAAGAGCAATTTAAACTTTTATTTTAAAACAACAGAGAAAGTTACTGCTTGGTGAACCAATACACACTCAGTATTTCTGTAGTGTATTTATTCAAACTTTGTTCATCCACTAGGTGTTTACAGAATGAATAAACTATGATGAACCTCTTCACTTATAAGAAAATTTACCAGGTAATTTAATTCTTGGAGCCACTGATTTTAAATCACATTTTTATCCTTTCAAAAAAAAAAATTTCAATTTTTTAATCACTTAAAACTTTAATAAAAGAAAAATAATAAAAATGTAAAATTTAAAAAAACTTTTTCTTTAGGAAGAAAATTTTTAAATAAAAATTTTAGCCCTCAGAATAAAAATCTAATTTTCAAAAGATGTTTATCCTTCATAAAATAAAAAATTGTATACTTCAGAACAATAATTTTTGTAGGAAATTCTTTAAACATTTATAATAAAAATCTAAAATAACACGTTTTAAAATTTTAAGTATACAGATAGTAAACTGACATAGAAGCTAAGGATAATATTTTTCCAGGGGATTTAGGTAAATAATCCAAAATGTCTCCGTGTGTTTACCTTTGTACTTGTCTGGTCCCTCCAGTGGGGTCGGCGTGGGGATTGGGTCGAACACGCTGCAGTCCTTCCCGGTGTAATCCGGATCACAGATGCACTTCACCTCGTTGCTGCAGGTCTGAGAGGAAAAGGGAGGAAATGTTGGGCTGAATTCACACCATCCTGTTTAGTTCGCTTTAATCTAGAAACTCCGGTTCGTTTGGGGAGAAATTACCACCAAAGAAGTGAAGTCTGGTTCGGCTTAAACATGGCCGAAGACCGGAGACCGCTCTTTTGGCAGGAAGCGAACTAGCGCGGGGCATTCTGGGTAATACAACCAAGTCAAACTGACTAGGCGGGGAGGTTTTCTGGGGGTCAAGGGTCGTGGGCTCACCCCATGGTGGGAGCAGATGCGTGAGGAGGAGGAGCCGGGGCAGGAGCTGAGGTTAAAGGTCGGCACAGGGAGGCAGCGGCGCTCCAGACACATCATGTTTGGCCCACACGGCGTCCCATCATCCACGTAGCCCAGATCCAGACCGTCGTCCAGCACTGCATGACCCCCTCTGGAACTCAGACAATCACAATCAAGCATCCTGGTTTTTAACTTCGACTCTCAATCGCTTTCCCGGCTTCACCTGCAGTCCATGTAGCGGTTCTGGTGATGAATCGTCAAACTGGTGAGTCTTCCCTGCAGTTCCCCAAATCTGGGTCTTTCTGTCAGGTTGGTGCAAAGCAGCAGGCCACACAGAACGTCTCTGCATGACGAGAGCAAACACATCGAGAGGCTAAACTCCACGGCAGCGTCAACACTGAAGGTAGAGCCGGGCGACATGGCTAACACATTCAATCTTGACTTTCTTTTCTTCAAAAATAAATTACAAATGACAAAAAATATATTCAAAAAGTGGCTTTTAAAAATTTGAGCCAAACTGTTAGAATGTTTAATTATGAGAATGTAGTCATGAAATGAAACTATGACATTGTGAGAGTCATCAAGATCTGATTTGATTCTTTATCAAAACAAATTCAGTCGTTAGTTTCAAAGTCCCGTTACTGATAATAATCTGATGCGTTAAAACAAAGTATTTCTGTATTTATTGAACTGATATCAAAGCTGCTCAAAGATGCTCAACGATGCAAAACTAACAATTTTTTTATTTTTGCTAGTTTTTGTGATTTAATTCTCATAAAATTAAGACTTTAGTCTGATAATATTAAGACTTTATTTTTAAAATAGTCTTAGCCTGTCCCTAATATTTTAACATTCAGTTTAAATAAATAGCTGTAAACCGGTTTGCCCAACAAAATGGCGGTTCTTGGCACGATGACATCACTCTGAACTAATAAAACCAAAGATTGCATTGGCGAGAAACAAAAATCCTCCAAAACCAAAGATTTAATCAAATTAAAGCATCTATCCTTTTTCAGTGATGATTTTCTTACTGTTTGTTGCATTGGACCCATCCCTGCCCGCCGGGGTTCGGCCCACAGTTCCCCTTCTCTGTTCCCTCCGAATTCAGCTTTTCATAACAAAACCTGTCAGCCGAGTCTGAGAGAGAAGAATAAACTCTTTCAATCAACAGCCAAAAAATATAAAACCACATTTTAAAGTATTTTTATTAGGATTTCAGGTGTTAAAAACAAAACATAAACAAAGGAGCTCAAATGTTCAAATGCATTCCACAGGATTGTTGAGTTAAAGGAGATTTTAAGAGTCAGATCCACTAGGGGGCAGTGTGGCATCAGTGTGGCATCAGAAACATTGAAGTCAGACTCACTGTAACCCCACAGAGTTCTGCACTGGCCATCTCTGGTCTTACAGCGGCCACCATAGCACCGACCCTGATGAGATAAAAAATATTTAAAAACAGAAATAGATACTTCACTGACCGCTAAAAAACAAACAAACATGCAGTCTCACCTGGTCAGCTTCACACGCGTATCCATCCAGTTTGTGGACGTTGTGAGGACACTGAAGGACACAAATCAATCAGACTGAGTTTTAGATGAATGAATATGTTCACCTGGTAAAAGTTCTTCTCTCACCTGGCTGGAGTCGCCGGTGCAGGTTTCGGAAATGTCGCAGTCATTCACGGCGTCGCGGCAGGTCACTCCTCTGAGCTCGTACTGCAGGACGGAGAAACACCGGAAAACAGAGAAAGGAATCAGTGAGTGTTTATCAGGAATTTATTTTTTAAAGGTGACCTATTATGCTTCCTTTAGCAGGTCAGCATATTTCTGTAAAAACATGTTCATTACTTTTTTGCACAAAATCATTCTTAAACAATGATTCTGTACAGCTTTGAAAAGCAGAAGTGGACTTTTCTGCACAAACAAAAAGAATCCAGCAAGTAGTTTCTAGATGGTAAATCAACAACAAAACATTTGTTTCCAGCAGCCACTGTACAGCGCATTCTAGGCCTGTTACAATAACAAATTTAGCTGGACAATTAATTAAAAAATAATATTGTTGCTTTTTTTCCCAAGTAATATAACAGTATAGGCAGAATAATAATGCAAGAACACATTCTCAAAAATCAGTAAACTTTAAATTCTAATGAACGTTTTAACACAAGAACTGGAAGACATTTTAAATATTCAAAAATAAACAAAACAACAAATACAATTTATTTTGAAGTCCTTGTAAACAAAACTGTCCTTCAAAAAAGGGCTAGTTGAGGCCAAATCACCAGAGTGAAAACTTTTATCCTCAGGTTTTTGGCAGAAAGGGAGAAAAAAAAGAAAAACTATAAACCAATTATTGAGTTTGTCTTAATTTATCATGCGATATTTGACTATTGTGATAGGCTTTGTGCATACAGTGGTAAAAACAGCTGACCAAACATGCTGGAGTTCAATTTGGGTTGCTGGGTCACAGGCTGGGCTTCACTAGGGTTGCTAGGTAACGACGCCACATGACTTAACCCAAAAAACCCCAAAAACTCTCTGCTGGGTGGCCTTTAAGCGCTCAGGTTGTTTTTAGAAGGCGTAGAAACCAAAATGGAAGCATAAAAATGTCCAAATTTGAATTTTGCATAATAGAACTACCAGAACACAACCATTGGACTGCAGTCCTAACAAAGTACTTAGAAAACTGTTACCAGAATTTAGTGTAGCAAAATTTAAGTCCAATATTTAGTTCTCCAACTCAGAGAGGCTTCATGACCTTCACTGAGTTTTGGCAAAACTTCTACCTCCTGGAAACATTTATTATTAAGTTGGAGATGAAAGCCAGCGGAGCTCACCTTGCAGTCCCTGCAGCACAGCCCGTTGCTGCACATGGCATTGTGGGTCAGAGTGCACTTCTTGCAGCAATTGGCTCCACTTTGACTGCACTCCTAAAGGCCAGACACACGTTAAAAGACATAAAACAAAGCAACAAACCTGAAATCCTTTTCAATTTAACACTTTGAGATTATTTGCAAGTGGCATTCTTTTGTATAAACACACCACTTTTGTGTTATTGGTGCCCATAGTGCACTTTCAGATGAAGTTATTTATTTTATTTAGCAAACTTCATGTGTTCACAGCTGGTATAAAATGCCACGCTTTGCTACCATTCGCTAAAATTACACCACAAAAAAATCGTGGCAGTGGGATTTTTTTAGCTTGATATTATGCTACTGTAATAAATGCTTATTTTATATTATGTCAGAGGTGCTAATAGGGTTATGCTCACCATCAGGGATCCACAGTCACATTCCTCTCCCAGCTCCACATACCCATTCCCACACTCTGAGGGTTCCAACAACTGCACAGAGAATAACAGAACAGCATCATGTCTCATTTTCAAAGACTGCAGTTCAAAACTTAATTTAAATACAGCTCAGCAAAAGTTGTTTTTTTTTCTAATATTACGGTCTTAATACATGTGTTTAAACTAAGAATGCAAACAATTAGTGTTTTAGTGTTGTAATTTGGCCACCATCCAACAGAGGGCGCCACTGATCATCCTTAAGCGGAGAATCTCATTTGTTTCTGTATCGACTGCTATAGATGCAAATATTGCGGCGGAAAGCCGAATCAGAAATGAGAAACGACCCAGAAAGAGTCCGTGGTGGGATTTTAAGTGTTAACACTCGAAAAGCATCTTTACTGTGAAAACTTTACACAAAGCTTTTTCTGTAGGAACAATTCTCTTTTCACTGGGAATTATTATTTACATCTTTTATTCAACTGTTCAGCAACCTAAGAGCTGCCTGTTTTATATGTCTAAACGTAATAATGAGAGGAAAACTCAATTCATGTTCATACAGCCAGTGTTTAATACGGCTAACACAGTTAGCATGTTATGAGAAAACTCAAGTCAATCATTAATCAATAACTTCCATCCCTAGTTTAAAGTGAAGCTGCCAGCTGACTCACCTTGGTGGGTTTGTTAAACAGGCAGCTTCCTCCTCCCTGCTGCAGGAAGCGCATGTACTCCTCTATGCTGCAGCGGGAAAACTTCCTGGGCAGGTGGAAGCTGATGGATGCAGGAAAAAATAAGACATTACAAGTTTTATTTATTTTTTATGTTAGTTCAAATTCATGCCTCTTGAATTTTCAAATATTTTGTGATACAACTTCAAATTTCAATGGATTTAATTAGGGTTTTACATGTTCGCGTTCAGTAAAAAGGAGCACAATGGCGACATGAAAGAAAAATGAGGCCGGAAAAAAATCTTAAAGATGTATATTAATAAAAAAGAGTCTGTTTGTATTTTAGTCTCAATGTGAATCCATTGAAGAAGAAGAAAATGTGACAAACCACATAAGGAAACAGAAAATGTGGAAGAAGCTGCTCCATTTTTGCAAGACACATAAAGTTAACGTTTATTTCCCTGAAAATCTTCCGTACCCGGTGTCCTCCATGATGCAGCCCAGCCATGGATCTGGACACCTGCAGCCTCCTGGACAAACACAAGCACTTCTGTGATTGAAAAAGATTAAATATATTCTACAGAGATGAAGCTTACTCCCATGGACCAGTCAAAGTAACAGCAGTTTTCAATAATTGTGCATAGGTTTTAAAGATGGAAAAATGTTTTATTGGTTTCAGTCATTTTAGTAATTGATTATTCCGTCAATTAATAGGAAAATCGGATAAAAATTCATCTGATTTAAAGCATATTTTATACATTATTAGAATAAGACAATTCAAATGAACAAATAATCATTTTGTTGTCTAAAATGCAGTAAAAGAGTTCATTTAATGAGCATTTGTGGGTGAAAAATACTTTGACATGAAAAATACATTAAAAACTTCCAACACTTCAGTGATATGTTAATTTTTTTATTAATAATTCGAACTGATTTTATTCATTTATTTTTTTACCTAAAACTCACTTGAGGAATTTTGTGTGAAACATATTTACAGCAAATATGTTTTTAAAATGTATTTTAATTGCAAAATTTTTTTTTTTTGGCTTTGTTACAGTTTTGAGTATCTAGATCTTTCAACAAAAGGTAATTTTGGCCATTTACTTACTTATTCCAATAATTGATCCATTGTGATTAATTGATTCAGACCCACTTAGATAAATTGAACTGTACTTTACTTTACTTTACTGTACTTTACTTTAATTTTATTTTATTTCACTGCAGTATTTGAAATAAAATAAAATTACTTTCTCACCTCAAATATGTAAAGTTGTGACTAAAAAATGATGCCAAAAATGGCGATATAAACAGTTTTCAAAGTAAAACAGCCATGAATGTATAAGGTTTGAGTCGTTCTCTTCAGTGTCGGCCATTTTGTTTCTGAAGTTCACCTGCAGCCGTTCGCTCTTTGTTCCTAAGCATGCCGACGTTCTGCCCCAGACTCTGACACAGAGTGATGGCCATCGGACCCACGCTGCCAAACTGAGGAGCCACACAGGAAATAAATCAGGGAAAGTTATCCTGGCGGCTGCAGGACGCCGCAGTTCTTCCTTCACCTCGTTGATGCCGCCGCCCCTCGTCAGGGAGCAGATCCCCCCGATGTAAGCGGCTTCGCTGCGGCTGCTCATGAACGTCCTCCCTCTGAAAAACAATCGATGAGACTGGATGAAACAACCAGTATGACGGAGTATTAGGGCCGCGCTAAGAAAGCAAAATAAAATAAATTAGGAGGATAAAGTTAAAAAATAAGAAGAATAAAGTCGAAATAATAAGAATAAAGTCATAATATGACAAGAAAATAGTCATAGTATTTCAATAAGCAAATAATACAAGAATAAAGTTGAAATAATGACAATAAAGTCAGATAAGAATAAAGTAATAATGTCATGAAAATAAAGTTGTATAATAGTTTAAACAATGAGAAAAGAGTGAAAATATTTTGAGAAAAAAGTCCTAAAATTACAAGAATTAAGTCTTACTATTAAGAGAATAAAATCATAATATTAAGAGATATAAAGTTGCACAAGAATAAAGTCAAAATAATGACAATTAAGTCTGTATTCTTGTATTATAATACAAGAATAAACTCATACTATTGTAGAAATAAAGCAATACCATAACAATAAAGTAATTCAACAATAAAAGTAGTAATATTATTAGTTTATTGTCGTAATAATAAAACTTTCTTCTCGTATGATTTAATTCTCCATTATGTCTTTACTTTTGCAATATTACGACTTTATTTATGTAACTAAAACATGTTTTTCTTTGTGCCTTTAATTCTCAGTTCAGAGATCAGTCAAAGAAATAAAAGTAAACTCAACGAGAAGAGATGCACGGCGTCGCAGCGCTGCTTGATGCTCTCCTTCCTGAACTTCATGAAGTCTCTCAGGGTCAGCAGGGGGTCGTCGCCGACGGCGATCCTGTTCTGGGACGACCAGGTTTCCATGGCGACCAGGACGATGCGGGTGTTGAGCTGCTCCTTGTAGATCTGAACGAAGGGTTAATTATGCAACAGGTGAGGATCTGATTCATTACTGCAGTTTTAATCAGTTTGATTGATAAATATTCAGCCGGAACTGAGCTGAGAGAAAACGTGAAACCAAAGATAATTAACTAAAAGCCTGCCGTAAATTGGGATAACGTATTGATGTTTAATGATTTCTGAAGCTTTTTTTACCCATTTAATTTCATATTAAGCTTCAGGAATGAATACAAACAAAAGCATTTCTGTGTATTTTTCGAAAAATCCTCATGTTTCTATGAGTCTAATGTTTATTTGCAGCCTTTTCATTTATCTCAACAAATTTCAGACCAAAATAATTTTCTAAAACTACTAGAAATAGTAGTTTTAGAACTACTAAAACTATTCTTACATTGCTTTTTTTATTAAAATTTTTCATAATTTGATAAAACTTCCAAAAACAGCAACACCAATACAAATAATTTCAGATTTCTGGGGATTATCATATAATTTATTATTTATAATGATACATTGCTTATCATGATTTTAATTTATTGTTGCCACAATAAATTCCAATTAATGGTGTTTCAAGAAAACTAAATAGTTCTTAGTGTGGAGATTGTTAGCTTTAATATTTTCTCCACTTTTTGTTCAGTAACAGAATTAATACAAATTAAAACAATTGAGGATAAAGTTAAATCCTGCAGAGAGCAGATTACTGGTACATATCACGCTTTTCTGTGTGAAAAGGTGCAATAAATAGTTGTATCGTCACTTTTATGGTTATCACAATAATAACTTAATTATTAATAACAATAAAAATAATAATACCAGACCAACATTGTGATAACATTTTAAGGCCATATCACCCAGCTCTAAGTCATGAATTTTAATTTTATAATTTCCCTTTGAGATTAATTATTTTTAAATTTAAATGAATTTTATTGCAGTAGTAAAACATAACCCAGAATTATTGTTTTTAAACTCAGCTTTTAATTCGGGTGTGATAAAAGAAAAAGAAAAACACTATAAATATATTTGACAAAATCACTGACACCGCTGATTTTTCCAATAAAACTAAATATTTTCCAATATATATTTTACTTATTTATTTCGAGGAGTTGATTAATTGCTTTCCATGGTAACCAGCAAAACTTTTTGCTTTGCAAACAATCTTTAAAGAGAAAACTTGGCAAACTACAAAACATTTCTAAATTCTCATTTATTTTGCGTCTTTTCTGTACTAAACTTTTATATTTCTAAACGAAAAAATTTCTCACCAAGTCGGCCATGTTCACTACGGATTTGGCAAAAATCTTTGTTTGAGACGTTGACCTGCGGAGCTGCACAAACTAACAGAAACAAAGCGGAGATTTGATCATTGAGTGGCTCTCCTTACCTGACTGAACAGGTGAGAAACGGAGCAAAACGCTCACCTACCAGCTCATAATCGTTAACGACCATCAGCTCGATGTACTTGGTCTCGGTCTGAACGGTGCGCTGGCCTCGCCTCGCCTGAGGGAGACACAGACACAAACCCTGAGCCGAATGTTTACGATGTGAAAATAACCTTCAGTCATCAGACACACATGAAGCAAACGCAGCAGGTGCAGCCAGCAGCCGCTCTGCATGGACAGACTCACACCTGCTGATGATGGTGAAACTCTACCTCTGTCCTTGAGAGGAAAACTTCCAGAACATTTATAAAGCAGAAATCTTTCTGCTTCAGCTGCTGCTGAAAGGAATATATCATATTTCTGAAACAAGTAAATAAACGTTTGGAGCTGAAATTATCTTGATGTCAAATTATCTTGATGTCAAACTGCAGCAGAGCCTCAAATTAATAAAGTATTTTTTTAATTTAAACTGAATACTCGCTCAATCACGCATTACAGTTGAAAATTTGTATTTTTTTAAGAGAAATAACTCATAACTTACAGAGTTTAATGTCATCAACACCAGAAATCAAAATACATGGCAAACTAAAGGTAGAACCAGTGAAACTTGGGTATTGATTAATCCAACCTGGTATTTTATTGATGAAGAGTTCCATTCGTAGTCAAAAATTTTAACTTTATAAATAATTTTTTTTTTATTTGTAAAAAAAATTAAAAAAATAAAAAATTTTGAACGCCTAACATTAGCACACTAATGCTAACATTAGCACACTAATGCTAACATCAGCACACTAATGCTAACATCAGCACACTAATGCTAACATTAGCATACTAATGCTAACAATAGCATACTAATGCTAACAATAGCACACTAATGTTATCAAGTTAGCTGTAACATTAGCATGCTAATGCTGATACTATCCCACTATTACTTACAACAGCACTAACATTAGCATACTAGCTCAAAGTAACAGTTTCATTAGTAAACTAGTGCTTGTATTAGCAAACTAGCTCTAAAATTAGCACAATAATGCTAACATTAGCACAATAATGCTTACAATAGCACTAACATTAGCACACTAATGCTAACAATTAGCATTAGTGTCCTAATACTGACATTAGCATACAAGCTCCAGGTAACACTTTTGTTAGAAAACTAGCTCTTATATTAGCAAACTGGGTCTAACATTTGAACATTAATGCTAACATTAGCACACTATCCTTACAATAGCGCTGAAATTAGCTTACTAGCTCAAACATTACAACACTAATGCTGTCGAACATCCTAATCATTTTTTAACGTGTTTAGGTAATTTGTTGCATAATCGCCCTGATATGAGATAAACTGCATAATACACTTTTATAATTTATATTCCTCCATTCTCTGTCATTATTGACACCTGCTGGAGGAACAGATCTACGCACCAAAAATTTGGAACAAACTTCCAGAAAACTGTAAAACATCTGAAACCCTGACTTCCTTTAAATCTCGATTAAAAACGCACCTGTTGAGAATTGTATTTGAAATGTAATCAATAAAAAATTTAATGATGTATCAATGTATTGCATGACTTTGTGTTTTTGTGTTTATGATGTAAAACACTTTGAAATGCCTTGCTGCTGAAATGTGCTACACAAATAAAATTTGATTGATTGATTGATTAATTGATCAACACTAACTTGTCTTTTGGAGCGCCTCCGGCCTCTGGTGAAAACGGTTTTCTCTTCTTCAGACTTGTTGTCTCCATCCTTCTTCTCGCCGTCTCCTTCAGAGAGACCATCTGTTCGCCCCTCTGGCTCTGTGCTGTTCATGAAGCATCCTGCAAGACGCACAAAAGCAGAAAAGTGATGAGTCATCAGTCCAGATACATGTAACTGTGTATTTTAGTCCTCTGATATGTAGAAGAGATCGATATCAAGCAGCGGGTGGAGAAAGCAGATTAATGAGGAGAGGAAGGGGAGACAAGGGCGAGGAGGACAGACGGACAATGTGATAGCAGGAGGGTAGCGAGGACACGAAAGCAGGAGAAAATTTAAATTTAGTGGAGGGATATTTTATTATTTTAGCTCAAATTCAAGGACAGAACTAAAGATTTCACAGCAAGAAGTGATGCACTGCAAAAAACCAAAATCTTACCAAGTAATTTTGGTCTATATTCTACAACAAATATCTTATTTTACTTAAAATAAGACAAAACTAACTGGTAAGTAACTTTTCAGTAAGACGTAGGAGCTTATTTTTGAGCAAACAATTCCTTTATATCGATTAAACTGTACTAGCTTTTCATGAAACAAGTGAAATTACCTCATTATTTAACTTTGAAGACTTAAAATAATGTTATAACCAAAAAAAAAACTTTAGTCTGATGCTACTTTACAGATAAACATCTGAACTTCATAAGAAATCAATCCCAGCAGATTTATCCTCTATATTTGTTACTCTGAGTGATATAATCTGTTAACTCCACTTTAATTTGCATAAATATTTCTACTGTCTGATGGGAAATGCGTCTCCTACCTGGACAGGGAAGTGAGAAGAGGTCGATGTTGGGCATCCGATACACAATGTGGTCTTTCTGCTCCAGAAACGAGACAAATTTTAAAAAATACAAATATTTAGCTGGAAAAAGATATTTAACATTCATCTATTTTTGCATGAAGTTATTTTTTTCAGACTAAAACTTTCACGCATTGTGTAAATTCTGTTTTAATTCCATTCAGATTCACTATGTAAAGTTAAATTTATACATTTTCTGGATGATTTCTGCACCTATTGAAGGAGTAAAATGAGATTTTAGGCATTAGTAAATTTCAGTAAGTAGTTTATTTTTCTTAGATAAAAACCAATTTCCAAAACAATTCAGTTATTTTTGACAATTCCTCTCAGAAGAACATTTAAAAAGATGTTTCAGCATAATTTTGCAGTTTAGTGGATAAAATTAAAAGCTTAGTTACTCAAAGACGTCCTAAGTTGAAGGTTTTGTCACAATCAGGAAAAAGTAAAACGTGTTGAGAAAAAGAGGAAGTATTTGCCAAGACAAAGATAAAAATAAAGTAAAATGTAGCTGATTTAACACTTTTATTTTTGACTTATTTTTTTTCATGTAATGTTAATTCAAAATCTTTCCTGTTTTCAAGGCAGAAAAAGAAAAACTGCAAAAACAAATAGTTTAAATTATTAAAAATATTGAAATTAAATAATCACAAATAGCTTAAATGTGTATATTTAAGCTACAAATAGTTTAAATATTTGTAGTTCAAACAATGAAGCTACAAATAAATAAGTTACACCTAATTATGAAAAATTATTCACATTTAATTGTTTAAATTGAGATCATTTAAGCTTAAATTATTTAATTAAGATAGACTAATTAAGAAAGAAGCCTAAAGACACTAACACCTTCAGGACATGGATATAGACAGAGCAAGCTTCTGGGTGAAGCTAAATAATTTAAGATAAATCTTAAATTATTTAACTTAAATCATTAAAAGCTGCATCATTCTTCGTGTTGTTTCCTTGATTAAGGGGTTTGAGTTTGAAGAAATTTCTCCGTCTTGCCTGCTGCTAGCTTGTGCTTGTTAAATGAAAATTTAGCACTTTCTTCTTTGATTTCCAATTTTGACTTCCAATGATTCACTTCCTGCTAAAGCGCCCCCTGGTGGTTGAAGAGAAATCCACAGAAAAGCCACATGGGAAAAAAGTAGCGGCTTATATTCCGAAAAATACGTCCTAAGTTTGAGGTTTTGTCACAATCAGGAAAAAGTAAAACGTGTTGAGAAAAAGAGGAAGTACTTGCCAAGACAAATACTTCAAATACAAATACATTTTTTATGGTACTTTCTTTGGAGTGCCACAGGGCTGAAACATGGGACCCTGACATTTTAATTTGTAATTAAAAAAAAGGTTAGAAAACACATTTTGTAGTGCTACTAAACACACTAAGTAACATTTCACTATGCATTACACATGAACAATAAATGAGTCTCTGTAGAAATGAACATTTTAAACATTTAGCATAAAAACTCTCCCTCTTCTCACGACTAGCAGTGTGAAGAAAACGTGTGGTAAACACAGATCACAGAGGAAAGTGCACTAATGCAAAATTAATCAGCCACATAGTCGTCATAATGGCTGTAACAAGCTCTGGTCATGGTGGTAGGATAAATACTTTATGAAAATGACCCAGCTGAGACAAAAAGCAAAGCAGCGAGGCGGAGAGCGAAGGAGTTTTATGACGAGCTGAGAGTCTATCGATCCGTCTCTCCGTGTAATTGAGCCGCACTTCGATTGCTGTGGTTCTTAATGGGAGAAAAGCTCCATTCTCAAGCTCTGTTTCGCTTTCAGTCACTGGCATTTCTCTCAATGTGACATGAATTTTATAATCAGATCTGAGCAAAGCCTCTCAAGCCTTCTGTGCTGAGAGAAACCGCCCTGAGGATGAGGCTCAGCGGAGGAGGAACGTGTCAGCGCATTTTTCCATTCAGAAGCTCAGAAAAAGATTAACGCTGTCTGGACGAACGGGAAATCATCCAGAGAGACGGAAACACGAGGCGGCTGCTTTGCTAGCAACCCAGAGAGTTTAATTTATACAAGTAACTGAAAGTAACACAATAATAATCAGTTTTATTCAATATAAAATTTATGATTAACAAAAACTGCAGGTGTGTGACATTTTACAAAGGTAAAAGTAGAAATATTTCATAATTTAATTATTCAAGTAAAAGTAAAAAGTACAGCACAGAAAAAATGTTTTCCAAAATAAGTTACAACTCTGACCTGCATCACAACAAAAATGTACAATAAAATTATTTTATATTGTAGTAGTGCCTAAGCCTGTCGCAATAACCAATAATTCAATTAATCGCGTGATAAATGAACATTTGTTTACTAATTTCCCTTTGTACAATTTATTGTTTTTCTCTTTTGGTCTCAACTGGCCCCTTCATTTTTTATTGTTTTGTTTATTTACTTTATATATTTAAAATGTCTTCCAGCTCCAGTATTAAATGTTTAGAATTTAAAGTTTGCTAATCTTTGAGAATATGTTCTTGCATTATTATGTTACTGCCGTTATATTACTTAAAAATGAGCTCAAAACAACAATATTATCGTTTATCGCAATAACGTCTGGGACAATTTATCGTCCAGCAAAATTTGTTATCATGACAGGTCATCACTTTCCCACAATATACACAAATAAAGCTACCAAGGTAGTTAGCAAGGGTATGTTAGCAGCTAGTTAGCAGTAGCCTCAACTACTTAGTCACAGAACAGAATGAAAATGTTTGTGTTTGACTCAAACGCAAACTTCTGTTGCTTGACAGAAAAATCCTGCGATTAAAATTAACTAAATAAAATGCACAAGATAAAGACTTGTGATTAACTTATTTAATATCAACTTACATATTTTTTAAATGCATAAATTTAGGACTTTATAAGATACCTGCTCATGCTGATTCAAAGCCAAACATTCCTCATTTTTACTCACCTCTCCGTTACCGACGGGTTCGATCCCATAAGAGAAGTTGGAGTCAGAAAACATCCCACTGAGAAAAGTTTAAAGTCAAATATTAGACAGCAGGGTTAGGAGTATTAGGGCCACTATAGATAGAAATAATAACAATAAAGAAAAGCTGAGAAGCTTTGATACTAATCTCAGAAATTTTCTAAATAATCCTGATAATAAAACAAAATTTAATTTCTGAGCTCCAAAAGCTGAAAATTTGTGAGAAAAAAACTCAGAATGTTCTACAAAAACAAGTAAACTTCTAAATATGAAAAATCAAAACTCTGAACAAAAAAATCTAAAATTTAGACATTAATCTAAAAAATCTAGAGAAACAAGTAAATTTCTGAGTTTGAAAAGTAAAAAAAAATTTTTTTAATAATTTGAAAAAAAAATCTGAAATTTTTAGATTAATCTCATAAAAATTTGAGAAAAAAACTTGGCGATGTCAAAAGTAAAAGATTTAAACTTAGAAATTTCTTTGTGTTTTTCTAGAACAATCCTGAGATTAATCTATTTAATTTAAAATTTTTTATAGCAAATGTTCAACTTTTCAAATTCAGAAATTTCCTTGTTTTCTATAGAACATTGCTGAGCTAAATCTCATCATTTCTGGTTTTTTTCTTTGGTGAAAATGTACTCTTTTTCATCTAAAATGGTTCTGAAACTTTATTCTTTTTGCAGTAATTGCTGAAGTGTTTGACTCACTGAAGGCCTCGGCAGGTGGATATCGCAGCCCAGGAGCCAGGCAGCCCCCGCACTCGCCCATGGTAGTAGCAATGCTCCCCGCCCTGAAAACAAATAATAGATTAGAGCGAGACACTGAAGCCTCCATCGCCCTGTAACGTGTTCATGTCAAATTTCAGAAAATGAAACCAGTGCCCGTCTGAGAACCTTGTGCTGCCACCGATCACCTGGCAGGTATTTTCCATCAGCCGACCGTCGGCTAGGTGGGCGTTTGCTGAAGGAGATCAATTACTGCAGGACAATTTAGAAAGAAAGCTACTGTCCAATTACAATCGCATAAAAACTAGGAAACGTCTTTGTTCACCTCTATGCTCATTCACTGCATAAAAAACCTGAGCCTGTCAGTCGCACAACAATCTTCTCCAAGGTTACAGCGTGTAACAGCATACTGTGGCGGATTGCATAAGAAATCTTGAAGGGCATTAACTCTGCAGAACACAATATTTTTACTGCATCTGTAGTTCTGCACTTATAACATCTCCTTCAAGTTGTTTATACCCAGAAATATTTAATTCCTGTTAAATGTAATAATCTGTGCTTTTTTATTTGGGATTTGTTTCAGTCGCTAAGCTAAGCTATCTTTCTCCAGACTTTCTGGGAGAAGTAAAAACTTTTATTTTTAGCCAGTTTTTCTACATGAAAGCACAAGAAGAATTAAATAAGGATTAAATAAGGATGAGACCAAAGTGACACCTCACAGTTCAGCATCCAATTCATAAAGTTTTTCATAATTGTTGGACATTTTGTTCCTTTGCAGTTTTGTAGAGTTGCAGTTTTCTCCCATAAGTAAACATTTTCAAACCAGACCTATTCATCTATTTATCATGAGATATTTCAACATCAAATTATATTTGTTTCAATGATTCAAAGTAATTTAGCATATCCTATGCAAAGGTCTACAGTGAGGAAATGTGGTTAAATATTTCAAACTAATAACTCAGTTATTTTGCTTTTATAACCAGTTATATTCAACTAGAAACTGGAATCAGAACCAAAGTTAGAGAAAATATGCAAAATTTATAAGCACAATGTTCAGAAAACAAAATAATTAAGCTACATATTAACTGACTGAAATGTTTTGTAATTACATTAAGTAAAGAAGTAGCAAACGGTTAGTTTATGAAAACAACGTGGAAGTTGGACGAGTTAAAATGGAAATGTGGGTACGAAAAACGGACTCAGATGTAATGATTAATGCTTAAATAAAGAGTCTAAAATTAAAGTAAAATTGTTTTTTTTCACTTTATCCCCTTTAGGAATTGCCTTTTTTGTCTAAAGGAATTAGAAAACAATTAAATTCTTTAAAATGCTAAGGCACACTGGTGTGTTTTCTGTAGAAAGTTTCATCTGTTTGCTTCCTTTTTAGCATATTAAAATATTTAAAAGAAAATGCAACCTAAAAGCCAACGTTTAAAAACACATCCACTCAATTGGAACCATTTCTTTTTTGGCTGATTAATATTTAGGTTTCCAGTAAACCTTGTGAGCGACGGTTTTGGTTGACATTTCAGTTTGGCTGAAGTGCAGAGAGGTAAAACCGTCGCCTCCAGATTCTATCACTTGATTATTCATAATCCTCTGCAGGCTCCAACTGGACGATCGTGTTTTCAATATCGTGTTTCAGAGCCGTCTCTGCGCTCGGGGTGCAGATGTGCTCAGATTACGACAATCTGTATTGACGCTCTATGATGCCAATCAATAAATTCATGCATGTTTTTACAGTTTGGAGAAGCTTAAAGTGGAGGAATATCATTATACTTGCATATGTTTGTTTGTGGATTCTTGGAAATTGGGACTGTACCCGTATACACTCATCTTTCTATGGGTGAAACACGGGGAGTTTGTTTCAGTTGTTTGTAATGAATCTCAATAAGTCAGCTCAGGTAACAATATAAAAACTTAAAAGCAGCAAATCTGTCCAGATATTTTTCTAAGCTGATGCTAGTCTTGGGCTGGTTCTGCTTTCTGCTTCCAGAACTTTCTTTATTCTTCGTTGGACAGACTCCAAATGACACCAAACAGGCAGTTTTGGCAAATCTGTTGGAGGGATATCTGGGGACAGTAGCGGTTACTGCCATTTCCCGATGGAAATAGTCATCAGCAAATGAAAGTAAAGGGGACCTGCTGCACAAAATTAGCATTTAGCACATTTTTATATTCTTCCACTTGGGTTTCTACAGCTTCTAAGAGCAGGACAAGAGATTTAAAAACCCACTCGGTTGTTTTTAAGTCAATGTTTTTTGGGGTTTTGGAAAATGATCTGCTTCAAAACCTTCTGGAACGTAACGTCACATCCAACTGGCTCGTTATTCTTGCGCAGAAAAAAGAGATTATTTTAGCTTCTTTTTTTCATTATATTTCGTGGTCCGATGAATATCAACAAGCCGTTTCCCTGCATAAAACTCTGTTGTTTCGCACCACTCTCTGCCAACCTGAGAGATGGTTGTGTGTGAAAATCCCAGTTGATCACCAGTTCCTGAAACAGTCAGACCAGTCTGTCTGGCACCAAAACCATTCAAAGAGCTACAAGCAACTGAACAGATCCAACAAATAAAGCGGCTGGTCAATATGTCAACCAATGTCATGAAGTCTTGTCCACAAATTCAAATCATTTTCACTTACATTTAAAGCTATTTGAGATAATCTGACAAATATCAGCATTTAAAATATGGCATTAATATTTCAGGTTTAAGATTATATTGTTATTGCTCCACTCCACAGTGAAAAACTAAATAAAAAGGACTTTACAGTAACTTTTTAAAACCAACCAAAGCCTAATCCTGCAGTTTCAGCCTAAATAGTAAGAACATCTGGATCTCAGCATTTTTATTTTCTTAAACCTTCAGACAAAGACTCACCACTACTTCTCGGAGGAAAGAAAATACTTTCATTAGTCATAGTAGACAGAGAGAGAGCTCATAGCACTTAGCACAGGGCAGGATAATAAATAAATAAAAGATAGGATTACGAGGCTAAATGGAGGAAATCAAATTGCCTGACACAGCAGACACACACTGACTGAAGAACGTAAAGGGCTTTTCAGAAAGGTTATGTGTGCACTACAAATAATGGCTACTCACTCGTAAATAAGCCCCATGCATACAGAATTATGCATAAAAGGTAAAATATCAGAACAACATTTGAAGAGAGAGATGAAATAGCTTGAACTCAGAAATGGACGGCAACAGTTACAACCTTCATAAATAAGAGGATTGAGGCTGACAACTAACAGAATTAGAAACGTTAGAGTGCACTGAAAGCCTGCACTCAGCATTAATGCTCTCAGAGGACCAAAGGAATGGTAACAACACAGAGATGAAGCTTTAGAAGGAAAAGAAACAACTTAAAAAGCAAGAAATACCTGTAACTTCTAACTTCTCAGAAAGAAAACAACTGCAATAAGCAGGGACTGAAACCTTTCCACAATGTTCCAGGTTTTATCTAAATTGAAGTAACTTTCATTGATTTAAGGAAATGTCTGTTGGGTTTTGAGTATTGTTCAAATTTCCACTAGTCATGTTTAGTTTGTGTTAATTGAACTTTAGTTCATTTGAAAGTCCGGTTCATTTGGGGAGATGTGAACGCGCAACTGACCTCAAAATACACACATTCTGGTCCGCCTAAAAGCCTCGGTCTCAGTTTAATACAACTGAACTCTGGTGCAGTTCAAATGCATATGTGAACACCAAGCGGACAGGAGACAGCTCCTAAAGCAGGAAGCAAACTGCAGTGCCTGGAATTCTGGGTAAATATAACCCAAGAGTCTGGATATGGTGAAAGAAATGGATCTGCCTTTTACCAAACACAAAGCAAAAATCCTACTACCGCTAAAATCTGACGCCACTCCATTCTTGTTTACATTTCATGAAGAAAGAAGACTTCCGTTGAGTGTCGTTCCCTACAGTGGTTCTTGGTGCAGCGCCACCACAGGCGAGGAGGGGAACATGTTGTTTTTATAGTTTGGTTCACTTGACAAAATGCAGTGTGAAAGCGAAGCACAGCAGCAGCAATTTTGGTCCAAATACAAACAGAAAAAATAAATACATTTAGACTTTTCTTCTCCCTGGAAAAACAACAACAACTCTGGATGCCTGTTTGAGACAAAATAGACCCAGAGTGGTTCTGCTCCTGGCTGCTGGCTGCCACAGCAACCGCTCACTGATTGGTCAGCTGGTTCTTTCAGCAGGAAAGGGTGACGAGCGAGAAAATGAGACTGAAGATTAAAATACAGCAGAGGACAAGGCGTAAACGAGAAGCCCACAGAGAAAGCTGTAAATCTCCGACGGAAATAATTTATTTTAATCAGATGTATGAATAATGGCAGACAGAGCCATGCCAGCAAATGACTCATAAGTGCCTCTGAAACGGTGCAAAAAAGCTGCTATTCAATGCCATTTCTTAAGGCTGGAGAAAATAAAACGCCACGTGAGTTCACACTTCAAAAAAAGCATCCAGCTAATTTAGAAATGCAAAAACATTCAGTAATTTAATTATTTTTGCCTGGAGTGCAATAAAAACTCCCCTATCATCTGCAGAAATAAAGTATTGTTTTTTAGTCAATATGTTGCCCATGAGCTTCTTTTGTTGCAAAAATTAAGACATAACGAACAATGTTGGCTTTCCAAATAAGCAATAAAGCATATTACGAGTATTTTTGGTAGTGAAAATATCTTTCTATGCTAAAAATAAGACAAAACTAACTTACAAGTAGCTTTTTAGAATTAAATAGAAGTTTATTTTAGGTAAATGATTCCTTATTTTTTATTTTAAAAAGCACTGTCAGATTATTTCACTTGTTGTAAGGAACAAATATTTTATAAACAATATTAAGGATTTATAAAAACAAGCTATTATTTCCAACTGAAAACTCACTTGTAAATTTGGTTTGTATTATTTCAAGTGTATTAAGATATTTGCACTACAAACTAGACCAAAGACACTTGGTAAGATTTTGTTTTTGCAGAAATCCGATGCCACAATTATCAGCATTTCTAGTAACTCCTTTAAATAAATGTAACTATTTTCTTTAAGTTAATCAGGTTCTTTAGTATTTTAAATTATTAATCCTTTGATATGCTCTTATTTTCATAAATTGATAGGAAGAGCAATAAATAAATAACGAGTGTGATAAATAAAGCTGAAGAGAAACCAGGTGCAAAAGTCGATACCAGATGGTAGCTTAATATTTCCCACTTGCAACCTGAGCAACTAAGAGCTATTTTTCAAGTACAGAAACAGCAGATATGATGTTACAGTGTGGATTTAGAGATGAAGAAAACAGAGGAAAACATGAAGCCATTAGTGGTGAAAACGCTGCAGGATCCAGACTGAGCACCGACAACAACAGGCCTCCAGGATATCAAGACTTAAAGCGGCAGTGCTAATTAAAATCAGCGCTTTTAAGCTTTACTTTATGTTGCAATGTTACTCCCTCATCAAAAACAAACCCAGAGTGTTGCTTTGATTCATTCATGCATGTTTGAGAAGTCATTTAATCTCCATGGGCACCATTGAAAACGCCTGGGTGGATTTAGCCCCGCCTTCGAGACGCTGCTCCTCCTCAGAGCTGCAGTGTCCAACATTGATTTTACGAAACGCTGGTAAAGAAGTTGTTCAGGGGTTTTTCAAGCAGCCATGTTGCGATGACTTCCTGAGGGCGGAGTTTCATAAAGAGCAGGCGTTCTTAAAGAGACAGAGGCCCAATTTCAAGGCGTTAAATTGTGCCACTTTTCCTGAAGAAACCCATTTCAAATGTTAAGTATTTCTGTTTGTGGCGCTATGAACGCCGTTTCATGCTAACACAGTCATACAGTTACCTAAAGAATAAGTAATTTAAGTAGTTTGTCATTTATGCCAGATGGTAACATTTGCTCCATATTACACATTTATATAGCCTTACCGCATTTTGTGATAGCTCCCCATTGTCAAAGTGACGCTCTTCGTAGTCTGTAGACAGGAGGTTGCTGTAAAGTAAAGGTAAATTAAACGGTTATAAAACACTTCTGTCATTACTCAGTTAAATTTAATGACTAATCTGGGCTTTTGTTTAGTCTGGTGTTTATTCTAATAGATTTGAAAAACCTCTTATTTATTTATAGAGTTGTGTCGCTACAACAGCTATAAAAACAGAGGATGTACTGAATGTGGGGGAGTGCAATGCAGAAACACAACGAATCTTTGTGTAAGGAAACAATCAGATGGGTCGCAGGCGCGTTTACTGACTGGTTCAGTTCCAGGTCAAGGGTGAAGGATGTGCCAAAGGCCTCCACCAGGAAGCTGCTCTGGGACAAATGAATGGGCTGGAAGAGAAAACAACAACAAACGGAAAAAATTAAGACAAATTCAGTAAAACATTTCATTTTGTTCAGTAAATTAATTAATTTTAACTATTTTTTTAACTTAAAATTAACAAAATTAAAAATGCAACAATTTGTTTATTGTTATTTTTGTGTCTTGTTTCCCTAAATGGCATGGATTACTTTTTGTCTCGAAATTAAGGCTTTTTATTTTATGTATTTATTTATTTTAGTTTTAACTGCTCAACTATAAACAAAATTTTATTACATTTTTATATCATTAAAGATGCACAACACAAAAAGGCTTCAGACTTTTACCTTAAGTCAACAGTTTCAAGACTTTTTGAGTCATTAATTATCAAAATTTTTCCCATCGTTAGCCAGCGGTCAGCGGCCAAACAAATTTATTTTAGGGGTCACAAATGGCCCGCAGACCACACTTTGGACACCCCTGAAATAATTTAAAAGTTAGATACATTTTTAAGTGGTTATTAATTAAATTTAACATAGTTAATTTGTTTAAAAAAAACAAGTGTGTTTAATATTAATACTTATTTTTATTTACCGCCATGATGAAAATACAGATTCTTCAATAAAACTCCCCAACTTTTGAGACTTCACATGAAAACTAATACAAAAAATGTTTTCCTATTTGGTACCCTCATTTAAATTCACATGCAAGGCATTCTTTAGTTTCGTCAACAAGGTCTGGAGACAACATATTGACCACAGAGGTCAGCTCGAGGTCAGACCTGCGACGCCGACAGTGAGGAAAGGAAAGGTAACAGGAGACAACAGGTAGAGGTGTGAAATATAACCTGACAGGGTGGAAAGTAGCAAGAGATTGAAGTGGAGTTTTTATTTTTTCTCATGAAGGAGGTGTGGTCGAAAAAAGAGAGAAAACAGAGAGAGAGGGAAAGAGAGGAAGAGAAAGGCGTCCAGGAGCGAGAAGACAAAGAGGTGAACCAAAACAGTGTCGCTTTTCATTGCAGTTTACAAAGCATCGTTTGTCGACAACGGCGGCGACTTTGCCACTGAAGACAGAAGAGAAATTAGTGAATTTCTGCCATAAAACTCAGAATTTTTTTAGATTAAACTTAAAAGTTTTAAAAAAACAACTGGAAGTCTGAAAAGATGAAAATTTGTGAGAAAAAAACTCCTACATTTTCTAGAAATTTTTTTTTTAACCAATTTTCTGAGCTTCAAAGTTAAAAAATTTTGAAGTTCAGAAATTTCCAGACTTTTTCTAGAATATTTCTGAGGTTGATCTTAAAATTTCAGGGGTTTTTTTTCTTCTAAATTTTTAACTTTTCAGAATCAGAAATTTCCCAGATTTTCTATGAAATTTTTGAGATTCATTTCAAATTTTCAGATTTTTTTCTAGCAAACTTTCAACTTATAAAACTGAGAAATTTTCAGGTTTTACAGAAAAATTTCAACGTGACAGGGAAAAAGACATGATTCAGATAAACACGTTTGATTTTGAGGCACTTATGGAGCGAAGTTTTAACATTCCTTCCAGTTTAATAATGTGAGAAAACCACAACTTTCTGCTTATTCGGTCACTATTTAATATAGCTGACAAAATAATTCTGAAATTATGAAAAATTTGCCCTAATTGTTAGTCGATTGATAACATCAATCAACGTTAGATTAACTCATTAACTGACAACTTGTTGCATTCCTACTATTTGTGTAAGTTGGAAACAGTGGCAGCTTTTCTTGAGAGCAGCTTGGCACCACACAGGCGGAAAAGAAAAGTTTTCTATGACTTTGCTAAGGCTTATTTCATGCCCCATTAAAGGAGATGGCCGACCTCTGTAGTTTGCAGAGTAAACAACATGCGGCTGATGAAGCCAAGTTGTGTTTCTGAGACTCAATTTGTGATTCAGTGAAAAATTATAGGGCCTTTTTTACTGTTTTTCCATATTAGTGAAAATCATCTTTTACCATTTCAGGAAATGTGGGATAATTCCCGGGTCATGAAGCAATTAGCAAATCCCGCTGTTCTCACTTGCAGAGCCATAATTAGAAGCAACTTCTATGTTTTATTTGTAAAAACACACAAAAAGAGCATTTTTAATTATTTTTATGTATTCATGGAACATCTGAGCAAATTGAAGGAAGTGTGAAAAAATACTAACGTAATTAGCTTAGTCAGGGGTCTTCAACCTGTGGCTCTTTTGAAATGGCTCTTAACTCTGGTTTAACATAGTAAAGAATAAACTAATGTCTACAATGAAAATTTAAGAATAAATGCAGTTTTTTTATGTAATAAATTGATATTCCATGTCAAAATCACACCAGTGGTATCATTTAAATATTATTATTTAATTGAAAATGATGTATGTTTTTATTTTAATTTTTATTAAATTTCAACATTTCACAGAAAGAAACATAAACATCTTCTTTTCTGTTACCAGAAGTGCACAAAGTAAGGATATTTGTAAGCTTAACTACATATTATTAGTATGAATGCACGATATATCGGATATATCGGCATCAGCATCGATAAAGAGTGATATTAGTAGATTTTTAACACATCAGTATTGGCACCATAAACAAAACCGGGCTGATATTAACAACTAATATTTATTTCCATCTTGTTGCCTTTTTGTAAAGGAGTCAAAAAGTAGAGAAATATTTATAATATTGTCCAAAACATCTATATTAATATTGGATATCGATCCAAATGTTTATATCGGTGCAACCCTAATATGAGCCTACAAAATTCAAGTGTAACATTTCTCCAATGTCTTTTTATGAATCCTGCAGTTTTATTTTGTGATTTATGCCTGTTCCTGGAGAAAATTGATTTATTTTTTATTTTGTTGTGTTTTTGTTGATAAAATGCACTGATTAGATGAAAAATAATCATTCGCTGGTGTTGTGGTTCGTTTGTGAACACAGTTGTTTGTGTCTCAACATTTTTTGCACATGAAAGACATAACAAATTTTATGCATTTTTGGCCAAAGAGTTGTTCCATACACAGATTACTGTTTGTTTACATAGATGTATGCGCTCATATCAGTTTCACTGCACATTCAGCTTTTGAGCAAAACTGTGGGGGCGTTAAAACATATATGAGTCTAAAGCTCACCTGCTGAATGCCATCTGGCAGGTTTCTGACCCGGGTGTCCAGGTGGCCGTGCAGCAGCTCCTCCTCTGAGTGGATCTGTTGCAAGAGCCGCTTGGGTTGGACGACCTCCTCTGCAGAGGGCAACCTCACCCACTCCTCCACACCTGCTTGGAGGACAACCCATAATGAAAAATTACCCAAACAGCCCATTTACCTCCGTTTTTTATTAGACGCATGTGCAAAAATGGTGGGTAAGAAAAAATAAATCCACGTTTTTACCTGTCTCGGCGTACCTCGCACAGAGTGCGGCGAAGAGCAGGCATCTCACAGGGGTCATGATGCTCACATAGTCCCAGTGATTTCCTGGGAGCTGCGCCGTTAGATGACCCGACAGGAGCCGAGAGGAGCGCAGCGGGACTGATGCTGAACACGACAGCTGCTTTCCTCTGCTCTCAAACGCGACGCCCGCATTTCGCAGAGACCGTCCCCACGGTGCGCTGGGTGAAAACGCGCGGATGGGGTTTCCTGAAAACGCACCTGTCTGGCTCTGCGCGCGCGTGTCGGCAGCTTCGAGACCAGGAGTCCGCGCGAGGAGCCTGGAGAGGCGAAGCACGTGGCTTTACGTGCTCCCTCCTCCCTACGTGGAGAGATTCAGACCCTGAAGGGTCTGAAGCTACAATCCCCTCAGCATGACTGACCAGAACATCCCGGATGAACTGATTCACCAAAACAAAAGCACCAAGTTACCATAGCAACCACAGGAAGAGAGGGCGTGCCAACCTGAATGAGAGGAAGAAAAAAACTGACATTTTAAATCACAGAAATTATATTTAAAAAGAGGTCATTTCTGAGGAGAAGTTGAAAATTTGCTAGAATTTAAAAAAAAATTTAGATTAATTTCTGAAATTGTCTAGAAAAAAAATTCTGTTCTGTTGAAAATTTGTTGGAAAAATATCAACATTTTAAATTGATATCAAAAAATTTCTGGAAAAAGCAAAGACATTTCAAAATTTGCTGGAAAAAAATCTTGTTTTAAGATTAATTGCAGAAATTTTCTAAAAATTTTTTTTTAATTTCTGAGTTTGAAAAGTAAAAATTTAGCAACTCAGGAATTTTGAGATTAATCTCAGAATTTTCAAAGAAAAACAAGGAAATTCCTCAGTTTCATAAGTTTAGAATTTGATAGAATAAAAAGAAAAAAAAAATCCTAAATTTCTTTGAGACAATTTCAGTGTTTATTTGTATATTTTTGACTTTGACTTTTGGAATAAAATTTTAAATTTTTCACCACATGCTGATAATAAATACCAAATATTGTTGATATTAAATACCAAATATTGTTGATATTAAATACCAAATATTGCTGATATTAAATACCAAATATTGATATTAAATACCAAATATTGTTGATATTAAATACCAAATATTGTTGATATTAAATACCAAATATTGCTGATATTAAATACCAAATATTGATATTAAATACCAAATATTGTTGATATTAAATACCAAATATTGCTGATATTAAATACCAAATATTGTTGATATTAAATACCAAATATTAAATACCAAATATTGCTGATATTAAATACCAAATATTGCTGATATTAAATACCAAATATTGCTGATATTAAATACCAAATATTGCTGATATTAAATACCAAATATTGCTGCCGCCAACAGGAAGTTGATCCCATGAGCCAACAGGACCTGCAGCTGCCCTTCCTTTCACCTCCCACTTTGCTCCAACAAACGTCAGCATTTGCTTCGATGAAGGGCAAATAAACGCCTTTGTAGCTACAAACATTTATTTTTGAAAAGACACACGGTGCAATTTTTAAATTAGATTTCTCCTGGAGAACAACTAAATAAATAAAAAACTCCAGCAAATATCCTCTGGCCCACCTTCAGATGACATTAATCTGACAGTTTGTCGTCAGCCGTATGGACGCCTGGCCTGCTGGACCCTCCACGTCTCATGTGGGATCGGATCCAGGCGCAGCACTTACAGTAATTGAGTAATGCCTGCCTGCCCTTTCAGAAAGCGGGTTCATTAACGTCTCCGAACCGCCGCGTGTTCCGGGAGACACTGAACGACCGCAGTCAGCAAAACAAACCGAACCTCACAGTCCAAACCGCAGAGCCAGAAAGAAAGGTCCGGGCGATATTAATAAAATCTGACTTTTTATAGTCAGAGAGCCGATTTACGATCTTAATGTTTGACAAAATAATTAAAAATACATAAATAAAAAAAAAGTGTGATGGAGTATCAGGGTTGTATTAAGATTAAAAATAAACGAAATACAAAAATGTCAAAATTTTGAGAAAACAAATCAATATTACAAGACTAAAGCTACAATATTATGATAATAAAATTTAAACTATACAAGTTATATTTTGGGAATAAACTAAAATACAGTCAATAGGTAACATTAAAAAAATAAAGTTGTAGCAATAAAGTCAAAGTTTAAATAAAGTCATAATATTTCAGAAGTTATATTATAGACATAATATTTCCAGATTAAAGTCAATATTATGAGAATAAGATTGTAATCAATTTTATGATTATTTTATGATTTTAGTCATAGTACGACTTTTTTCTTGTATTATTTCTACTTCAGTCTTGAACAATTTTATTCTTGTAATTTTATTATTTTTACTTTCTTACAGTAACCCTAATATTAAAAAAAAAAAAATTTAAAAATCAAAAATTCAGTTAATTGATAAAATTGATTTATCGCCAAGTCCTAAAAAGAAGAAAAATTGAAAAAAAGTTAAAAATTATGAAATTCAGTACTTCCAAGGAGGCATTAATAACAAAAACAATGTTACGTCACACCTTTAAGAAAAGCAACTTATAAACTTAAATATTTATTCAGTGTAAAAACATTTCACATTTCATCAAATCCATCCAGTTACTAGAAACAAAACGTTAAAACCCAAAATCTCAGTGCTGAACCTCAACAATCTGCACCACAGTTCTGGAAAAGGTCGCCGGGTCGACGTCCTCGCCGCACAGCGCCGCCGGCTGCAGGACGGTGTGCAGATGCGACTCGTAGCTGCTGTCATGCATCCAGGGACACGGCCGGTGGAGCAGCTCCTTGTCGAGCTCGCCGCTCGCTGGTGGCGCCGCCGACAGAAGGCCGAGGTCCCAGTCGGAGTCTGACGACTCCACGCCGCGCGTTGCCAGGTCTGGGATGAGCGCCGGCTCGATACACTCAGAGTCTCGATTTGAGATCGCCACTGGAGTTTTTTTATCGTCTCCAGGGAAATCGAAGTCTGCTGAATCCATTTGAAACAGAGATGAAGTGAAATTCTGAGCGACGGAAAATGAGCTGAGCTTCTCGGGGAAACGTCGTCGTACTGGATCAAATGATAAACGATCCACAGCGTTCGCCATGTTGTCAGTTTGTGGTTTCAACAGGAAGCATCCGTTCTCAGTCCTCCTCCTCTTCTTGCTGCTCCTGTGTTCGGGGCTGGCCGACCTGCAGCGCTTCCTGGGGTTTGGTGCCGCGGCGGACAATCGAGGGAATGAACTCCATCTACTGGAAGGCAGAGTGGGAAACTTTACACCCTTCTCTTCCTCCAAACCATCTGAACCCACAGGAAGTAACGACGACAGCAGAAGAGCTGACCCATACGTCTGTAATCCATGTGTTTCCTCTGAGTTAAACTTCTGAGGACTGAGAATGGGGGGTTCTGGATACAGGTTGTGTGGATCCATGATGCTGTGGGAGTGGGGAACCTGTGGGCTGAGAACCGGCGGCAGGGAGTACGGATCTGGGAGGAGACATGGAGTGTCCAGCTGTTGGTCCAGAGGTTCGATGGTGAGGACAGGCATCGTCGGGCTGGTCGCCTCCGGCTGGACGTGAGCGTCAGCCAGGTCAGAAGAAACATTTCGGCTTGTAAATTTTAAATCTGCTGTGTGAGAATCGTCTCTTTTGAGGTCCTCAAAGGCGTCCTCCACTTCAGCATCAGTGCAAAGTTCAAGTTCATCGACAGGCAGAGGAGTCAATGCTCTACTGAAGGACAAAATAAAAAAAAAAAAAAGAGAATATTTGAGGAAAACTGAATACATGTGGTTTAGAAACGTCTACTGTATCATGCAAAGGTAAGGCAGTGTTAAGCCCACACTAAAAATATATCAAAAAACATAAAACTATGAGAATAAAGTCGTTTCCCCCAGAAAACTTGCTAAGCCTGGTGATTGGCCACAAAGGCAGTCATTCATCCAGCAGCTCGTCGTCTTTCTGAGTCAAAAAATGTTTAGAGTTGACAGGAAATTTGAAAATATCACTTGATAATTATGTACTATTGCAAGATTAATACCTGGACACCAATTATAAAATCTTAAAAAATGCAACATTTAAAAAAAGACTTATTAAAAAAGCCTGGTGGGGCAGAAGTAAAGCCTGGTGGCCCGCCAGGCTTATAATACACTGGGAAAGCTGAAACTCATAGTATTATTAGAATAAAGTCATGATATTACAATAATAAAGTTGTACAAGAATAAATTCGGATTACAAGTACAAAGTCGTTATATTATGAGAATAAAGTCGGACAAAAATACAGTAAATTTACAAAGTCATTCTCATAATTAAATGTTTTTATTTTTCTCGGACTGACCCCAATACTTCGTCACACAAAACTATTGATACCTGTTGAACATTTGGGCCTTTACAGCTGCAAATGTCAATCTAGATTTCTGTGGTTTCATTGATCAGGGCAACACAAAGTACTGGAGGATTGTGAAGTGAAATGAGAAGGTTTGACAGCCACGTCTGTCACAATAATCAATTAATCAATTAACTGCATGATGATTTGAAACCAGCTCTCATCTTAAACATCAAAAATAAAACAACAACCAAAAGCAATAAATAAAAATGAAACAAAAAAATAAATAAAATGGATTATGAAGTTTTTGTAAACAAAATTTTCTTTCAAAAGAAAATGAGTCAAAATGGAAATTATTGATTTAATTTATGATGTGATTAATTGATTACTGCAATAAGCTTCCTGTGAGAAATGTTTCTTTTATATAGATATAGCGATATATAGAAAAATAAATTGATTCCATTCTATTTTATTTAATGACAACAGGAAAAAGTTGTGTGAAAACAAATCTATGCAACATTTTCTTCATCATTATTTGGTAAAAATGCTGCGTTTTCCTTCCACTATTTTTTGGTGCATCACATGAAAAACCCCAACAAACAGTAAAAAGGTTAAAAATCAAGTAGATATTTTTACACCGAGCTGTAAAATTCAGTAAACTCTACAAACTATGAGGTTGTACCTTTGTTCTGGTTGCTGAGGCGGGTTTGGGTCGAATCCTGGAAGCATCTCAGCCACAATCTGATCCACGGATTTGTAGTTCGAAGGGTCAAGAACAAACGAACGGTGCGCATCCGACTGCAAATGCTACAAAAGCAAAAAACTATTAAAGCTGTAAAAATAATATATAAAAATAGAAACAAATAAAAAAGAAACACTCCTACTTCCTCCAGATTCGCAAATGTTTCATGACAACATTCGCAGTAGGAAGCGTCTTTTCTGCGCGGCCGCCAAGGAGACGGGTTGCAGCTCAGCTGGGTCGGAGACTTTTTCTTTGAGTTGTTTTCAACTTTATTTTCCCTAATTAGAAATAAAATCTAAAGTAAATACCAAAACCTAAAGGCACTTGGTTAGCAGTTTAAGTCTATGAAGGGCAGAAGAACAAACCTCTTTTTATCGTTTCCTTGCCCAAACAGAGGAGGAGGAGGAGATTCGAAGGGACTGAATCGACCCAAGAAGTACAGAGAAGGAAAAGCCACAGACTGCATGTGCAGAGGCTTGTACTTCCTGGTTTTGGTGCAACAGAAAACAAAATACAACGTAAAAATAAATGCTTAGATTTGTATTTATTAAAGATTGATCAATTCATTCTGAGCGACATTATGCTTTATTATTTATTTTAAATAAAATGTGGAAGTCCTATTTGCACTTTTTGAACCATTTGGAAGAAAACATGTTGCAGTTTATTTCTAGATGGCCTATTGTTCTTGTCAGTTTTAGTTTCTTCATCACTTATTTTTAATGCTTTACTCCTAATTGCACAGACAGAACAAATTAAAGTTGTGTTATTTTTTACATGTTTTTTCCAAATACGTTTGTAATTCAGTTCATTTATACCTGTGTTTTTTTTTTTTAAAAAGTAACATTTTAAGTGAGTTCAGCACTGAACCTCAGGTATCAGTGTTGGTATCGGAAGAGGAAAACGTGGATCGGTGCATTCCTATGGAATTCGTTATGGAATACTCTGAGCTGCAAAATATTTCTATTCATTAGAGGAACAAGAAAAAAAAAAAAAAGGTGGTTTGTATGTGACGGCTCATCTGGCCCCAGCTGGGCTTCCAGATCTAATGGGATCGCTTTCCAGACATTAGCCAGAGCACTTCAATTACTTAACGAGAGACCGAATGAAAGGATGTGTTCACACATGGAGATCCCCTGCAGGAATGCACAGCAGAGCCTCATCAAAAGAAATCGAATACGCCTCAGCGGCGACCTCCTGGGGAGCGGATCCTCCAGGGGTTCGTTTGTCAAGTTGCATGATGAGACCTCTTAACGAGTTCAATTAGGAAAGTCAGTTGGAGTGAAAAGCAGCCCCACTGAAGGACGTAAGAGCAGAGAAAAACCCAGTCTTACTTTGGTATCCACATAATTTCACTACATTTTCCTCAAAAATGTTTATAGGATCTTTTTTTGGTAAAATATTTCCAAATGTATTGGTAAAATATTTCCAAATGTATTTATTTATTTTTACTAAAATACACTTCTTAGTTTCTTTTGCTTCAATATAATTTAACGTGACTTCCTAAACAATATTTTTGAGGACATTTTTTTGTCTTTAATTGAAAATAATAAAAGCGGGTTGGTGAAAAATTTTTATTCTTGGGAAAAACATAATTTTTAATTACTTTAATTTCAACACAATTTACTTATATCTCAACATGATTTCACTTTAATCTTTTTTGTTTTTCAAAATGAAAAAACACAAATTGGCTGTTGGTAAAATATTTCCAAAATTCTATTTATTTTTTTTCCTTTTAGAAAAATGCAAATTTTATTTCTATAAAAGTAGGAAAGATAATTAGAGTGAAATGCACCATGTCATGGAAAAACACAGTATTACTTTTGTTTCTAGATGATTTCACTTAACCTCCACAAAATAAACTTTTTAATTCGATTCTTGTCCATTTGACTATATATTCTACACAGACTAAACGAAACGAGAAACTCACCGGTTTGCGTCTTCAATTTTAAGATACGGAGCTCTTAAAGCTGTGGCTGTGATAAGAACAAGCAGAAAATATTATATTAACAAGTATAGAGTGAACATGAAACTGGAAAATAGATACTAACCTTTGACAGCAGTCACACTTTGTTTGGTGGATGACTTCTGCATAAATATGAACAAAAATGTATCAGCATTCAAACTTTAAAACACATTTAGACAGGTTTCTGTTATAACAGCCTATTATGTTCAGCAATTATTATGAGCAATTATGTTCAGTGTACTTGTATGCAGTCTAAAAGTTTTACAATCATGTTTTATAAATCTAATTCTTACTTCAGGCCTTTTGGGTTTAGTGCTGAAGCTCTCTCGACTCAAATGCTTCAGATATAAAAGGAGATCTGGCATTAAATTAAGGGACAACAAATTTTAGCCACACAGACATTTTTGTAATCAACTATTTCCTTTAAAGGTGAAAATCCTCGGAACAACTGGAAAACAATAATATTTCACATTCAAGAAATCCAATTTATGCATTTTTTTAGGTTTACATGGAGGATAAATTCAAGAATTTAAGACATTTAGTGACAACAAACTGCGTCAGCTGTGTGGTGCAACAGATTGTGGCGCCACCTGCTGTAAGCACTGAGGACTGCATGCTTCCGCCACTAAAAGGATACCGTCCACATACAAAATCTTGACCCCCCATGATCGCGCGTTGGACAACACGCTGCTCCTCTGCTGCAATTCCTGCAGAAAACACCGAGCAGAAACAAGCAGGAGTCAAAATTCAACACTTAACACAAATAAAGGCTTTTTAAAATTTATTAGAATTTTGTTTACTTACGTTGTTGCACATGGCTTTTTCAAGAAGAGCCTTCCCCCGGCTGCCACAAGCCTGAAGAGACAAAATTAGCTCACATGTTTACTGTTTATTTTAATGCTACAATCACAATCTTCAGTTTGTTTTGTAGCAATTTTATGCAATAAACCAACACAAACGGGGGCATAACATGGTTTTCTTTAAAAAAAAAAATTTCAATCAATGCTCTAAAAATGGAAAAAATCATTTAGATTTAAAAGAGAGGGATTTATTTAAAAAACTAAAAGATAAGGATGAATATTAAAAACAATCAGAGGGTTTCAGGTGTGAAATAATTGTTATGTGGCGTTAAAATTGTGTTTTTCACCATTGAAATACAAAGATTTTTTAATAAAAATCACTTGCTAAGTAAATAAAATAATGTTTGATTTTGTTTTCTTTTATGAATTTGTCTACATACTTACTTGGCTTTTAGAAAATATACATTATATAGATTCTGCTGCTTTGATTTTGATGATGCTTAATGTATTAAAAAAAGTGATGATCCAAAAACTATTTTTTAGTTTACGCTTTATATTTTTGCTACTGACAGAAATTTAAATATTGTTTTTTCAGCATTGTGTGTTTTTTTTAATTTTTTGACTTGTGCATCGATCGATTAAAAATGACAGAAAAATAAATGAATAAATATATCAAAGTAGAGAGTATAACAAAAGTGCAGATTTGTATTTGTAATTGTTTCTCTCTTTCTACTTCATAATTATGTGATAATTTGTATTGTTCTATCCCATAGCACCCAGAATACATTAAACATTACTGATTTAGCACAATTTGTAAAAGTTATAAATACATTTTCAAACTGCATTTTATGCTAGAGTTTGTTTGGAGGCTAGAGAAATATTTTACCATCAGTCGAGGATTCACCGATGGAAGTTTGTCTTTGCTGAGGCAATTATCCGGCTTCTTTGTCAGCTGCTGGCTTCTTTCGTTTGTCCCTTTTTCTTCACCTTTCTTCTCCTCTTTTAGATTCTCCTGGCTTCCAGTCACAACAAAGGTGACATCTTTATGCAGGAAGCTCTCAACCTTCTTCAGAAAAAAAAAAAACAGAACATCAGTTTCTGCAGGGATGGGAAATTTTATAAAATAAACTGGCGCCTTTCCCCCCCATCAGCTCCTGTAGGATTTTCACACATGCTTACCCCTCCTAACAGAGGAATGGCCTCCAGCAGCAGGGTGGTTGAGCGTTTCTTCACATTGTCGAGGTAGAAGGTCTTCCCCTCCAGTTTCTTGTCTCCAGCACAGAGTTGGCCGAGAAGCCCTTGCTCCTTTGCAGACTGCTGAGGCTGCATGGCCAAAGCGCTGCAAAAGAGTTCACTGCAACAATTTAGATTGAATGTAAAACCTTGACTAAAAAGTGTAATATGAAACCTGACAAAAATATAAACAGGGTTTCCCTCGGCGTATTATAAGCTGTGTACACAAGGCTGTATTTGTGCCCCTACATCTCTTAAGTAACTACAGCTCTGGAGAAAATTAAGAAACCACTTGAAATTATCAGCTTCTCTGATTTGACTTCTTATACATTTGAGTAAAATAAACATCATTCTTCTGTTACATGAACTACTGGCAACATGTCTCTGAAATTCCAAGCAAAAATTTAGTTTTTATTTGCAGAAAATGAGAAATGGTCAAAATAACAAAAAAATGCAGTCACATAAAGAAGTGTACTTTGTATCTGTAACTCTATTTTCAAATTTACCGGTATTTATTGAAAAAAATTGATAAAATGGTGAAACTATCAAACCCGACAATAAGAACAGTTTTGGGGGTTTAAATATTACAAATTGAAATTTATCATGAGAAAGCCAAAACTCTTACCAAGACACGATGCATGTGTATCATTTGTCATTTATCATGATAAATTATTAGATTTTACAAACTATTTATCATGACAAATGATACACAACTCTAAGGATAACACAAAAACAAAATCTAGTAGAAGTTCCTGCAGCTTAAGCAATTTAGTATCTTGTCCAAACTCAATAAATTAACATGGAAAACATTTTTTTCTTTCCTATTGAGTTCAGTTTTTCTGGTGAACAGAACATTAAAAAGAAAAGTTTACATTTAAAGGAACATGATAAATATCATTATTCAATTTTCAAAATTACAGAATATCGAAAATGAGTAATGATTTTTAAATTTTAAAGCTACAGCACATTTTAAAGCTCTCCCGTACCTTTTAGAGCAAGATTATAAATATTAGATTTGCCTTTGTGGGAGGAAACATCTACAACTATTTACATTGTTGTGTTCTAATCTTTCCTCCTATCTAGAATAATTATTGGTTACTTCTGACTGTTTATCTGCTTTCTCCTAAAATGGTCAAACTGGGAGGTTTTTCTTCTAATCAATCGAGAATTACATCTCAGCCTCTATCTTCTGAATTTTATTTTACAAACTACAACAGCGCATCGCCTCGCGAGCTTTAGCTGACCTTAGCTAGCTTAGCTTTGCTCTCAATACACACGAAAAACGCCTCAACCGGAAACACGGCTTCACATTCAAGCACAAACACGGAGAATCACGAAATAAGACTGTATACTTATGGTTAGTTATGGTCCTGGAAACGTTGTGCGGTGAAAAGTTATTCATTTACCTCGTTGAGATGCTAAAAACCCAAACCGCCGCTTTTTCGAAAACAACGGTGACGTCACATCCGAAAGTTTTTTTTTTTGCGGATGTAGTGAAAGCAACTTTCATTTTCTCGAATTTCATGCTTTTATTTTATACAAATTCATATATTTTAATCAATTCACACTATCATCTTATATTTTTATTTGGAAAAAATCTTTATTAAATTACACGTTTTAAGTAAAATATCCTTTATTCTTTAGTATTATACTTAGAAAACTGTACTTTTTATAAAGCATAAAGTGATCAGATCAGCAGGTTAATCCTATAAATAAAATGTTTGTCATCGTTTTGTTGTGTGTCCACGGTTCAGCTGCTAGTTTAGTTTTGACTCGTTTCCAATAGAGTATGCCTACATATTATCAATTCACTCATCATCACCAGGCAGTAAAACAAAATTTAGCTTATAAAATGACCCAAGTAAACATTGTATACAGAATAAAGTAATACAGGTATATTCCACCTTTAGACATATTATTTTGCCGGGTAAAACTTACTGCAGCTGTCATTTTATGTAATTAGCTTCAGCAACTAGAACCACCAGCAGATGGCAAAGTTCCTGCAAGTATCAAGGAGTAAAGTGTAATGCAGAAATCATAAATTTTTTGATATGATTTAAATTTTAATTACGTATTTTTGAAAACTGTTTTTGTGAAAAGCAAACTCAACAAAGAAAATAGAGACTTTTTATTGAAAACATGCTGTTATTTGACAGTAAAAAAATATCTTTAAACAAAACTAAACCCTTTCAGTTTGAAAATCAATCAACTCCATACCAGGCCAAGTAAAACATGAAATTGGGGCGCTGCATTAACCGTTAAACTAAAGTAGAAATAAGGAATAAAACACAATTTAGAAAAAAATACTTAAATGTAAACAATGTCTGGTGATCAAACAGAAAAATCTCAAAACATAAATGAGGATTTTCTCAAGACAAAAACGTTGTAAAATGTTATCTCTAAACTGGTTACGGAAACAATCAATGTAAAGTTGGCTCAGCAGAAAAAGAAACTGTTTTGCATACTCAGAAACAACAATATTAGTCAGGAATTAGAAGTATTTGTACATAGAGAGCTGGTCATGTCCACTTTAGTGAGAACAGTTTATATAGAAAAAAAATGTTAAGCAGTTCTTTGGCTCTTCAGTGAAGGCACTTAAAACAGAGGCCTCTACTGCCAGACATTACTGACATTTTTAACATCAACTAAAAAAAGGAAAAAACACAAACATAACAGGATACAAGTATCTACTCTGTATTTCATAAGCGTTAACTCAAAGAAAAACCCGTCTTACTATTTTCAACAAGTTTTTGCACATAAATGTTTAAAGTTATGTCGTTGAGTTTAGCTAATCTCTTCTATAACTGCTTAATGTCAAATGTCAACAATAAAATAATGAAAAATATTGTAGAGGAGTTGCTAATGCTAACTGAAATGAGCCCTTGAATACGTTATTTGTCCCTGAAGAGTCTTGTTTTACCCAAAAGTTACTTAGATATGCAAATGTTTTAACCCGATTGACACTGTTGGAGATTGTATTCAGAGGAACACATATGTTTATTGAATGGTTCATATGAGCCAATCTCCGTGGTCTAGCTGCATTAGTTATAACCAAAGTTCTGAGTCTGAACAGTGTTTCTTTATTTCAGATCCACTCAGAACTCTTTATCACTCCATATTTGCTGCTGCTGCTTGTGCCGCTGCTGCCCCTGTTGGTCTCGGCCTTTCCGGAGGCGTGCCGGGACGTCTGCCGGTATTTACGTTCATGGTTGGGTTTGCTGCTGCTGTTGTTACTGTGGCCCTGCAGCTGGCTGTAGGTCTGGTTGTTCGCATTCAGCTTCTTCTGTGCCTGGGCCACGTCTTTTTGGGCACTTCGGGGGCCGTCGCCCCTCCCAACCCTGCACAGGTTCTCGTCGTTGTTGACGTACTGCTGACGCTCCTCCTGGGCGATGTTCACGTGGTTCTGGCGGCAGGTGATCTTGGCGTGGGTGAGATCGGTGATGGGAAGAGGTGGGATGTGGTTCCCCTTAGACACCAGGAGAGGTTTGACGGCAATGTTGTATCCTGGAGGGGCTGACGGTTCGTTCCAGGTGAAAGGGGAGCTGCCGTGGCCGTCGCTCAACCCTGCCTCATTCACTGCTTTATTCCTCTTTGTGAGTCCGTACAGCTCGTCGTCACGCATTTGCAGTTGGTGGGAACGGGCTATTTCACAGATGGTGCCAATGCCCAGATGAAGCATCTCCCATAAATTGAGCACCAGGCAGAGCATAGAGACGGCGTACATGATGAGGAGGAAAATGGTTTTCTCCGTGGGCCGCGACACGAAGCAGTCCACGCTGTGCGGACAGGGTAGGTTGGAGCAAACGTATCTGGAAGGCACAGCAAATCCGTACAACACATACTGTCCACAGAGGAAGCCGACCTCCAGGATGGAACGCGCCAACAGCTGGAAGACATAAATGCGCATCAGCCCATCTTCTTTAATCCTCTGACGACCATCATGGCGAACCTTTTCTTTCACTTGTCTCTCATTACTGTCTTCCTTTGCAGCTAGACTCCCATCATTCTCCGCCTCCGTCACTTCGTAGATCATTGGGTCTTCCTCGTCGTCATCCTCAGCCTCTTCCGCGCCCCTGTGCTGCTTTCTGCTTCCCAGGTAGCGCTTCTTCAGTTTGTTTTGTGGAAATCTCCTCACTCTCCCCGTGTCTGCCTGCTCTTCTGCCCGAGCAATTTTGTTCACAGCATAGCCAAGATACATGAGGGACGGTGCAGCCACCAGGATGGTTTGAAAAACCCAGAAGCGGACGTGGGACAGAGGAGCGAAGGCGTCGTAGCAGACGTTCTCGCAGCCCGGCTGGCCTGAGTTGCAGACAAACTTGCTCTGCTCATCGTAGTAGATCGACTCGCCTCCCACGGCTGTCAAGACGATGCGGAAGACGAGGAGGACGGTGAGCCAGATCTTGCCCACAAACGTGGAGTGATTGTGAATTTCCTCCAGCAAGCGCGTCAGGAAGCTCCAGCTCATGGTAGTGGCAGGAAAACTACGGCAAGAGTCAGCATACGCCTTCTGCTAGTGACCTGTAGATGGGAAGAAAAACCAGCTTAGAGATATTCAATGTTTATTACTAGACTCTAAAATATAGGTAACTTCTTCCTCAGTTGTTGTTTCCTACAAATTAATAAAAATTAATATGTTATGAATCAAACCCACATGACACAAGTTGCCAAAAAGAGGAAAAGACAGAATCAAAAGTTCTGATTTGTCAGAAATGAAACTGTACCAGATTTATATAAAATAACTTAAAGGTGACCTGTTAGGTTAGGATAGGACAATATGATATATATAAAAAAAACCTTTACAGTTTTTGCAAAAAATCATTGTTAGATAATGAGATCTCAGTCTGCTCAGTTCTGCCTATTTTGAGCTAATTTCAAATTGAGATGTTTTAGGAAATCTTGTCACTTTAAATACAAATAAGCCGCTGCTGGCCACATCGAAAATGGCTGCAAACAGATTGCACAATTATTAAACCATACATTTTTAAAACGTCGACACCCAAACACTTGTTTTCCAGCAGCCATTGTACAGGACATTCAGGGCTAAGCCAGCTGACCAAATGTGCTGGCGCTCAGCGTGGGTTGTCATGTTTTTATGAGGTGTGAGTGCAAAAGCTATAAGTGAAAGAAAAAAACTTTAAAAACATTAATGTAAAAGTAATTCATTTGTAACGTGATTCACGTAAAGAACTGAGAAAATTAAATAAATGAACTTTTCAGTAATATTCTAAATATTGACTATGACTGTAGCTTTATAAATTACTTGCAATCAACTAAATAAAACATAAAATGACTGTTTTTATTTAAATTTTACAAAAATGTATGTAAAACTTTCCATTTTATACAGCTCTGGAAAATATTAAGACCACTTAAAATGATCCATTTCTCTGATTTTACTTTTTGTAGGTTTATGTTTGAGTAAAATGAACATTGTTTATTTTTTTATTCTATGAACTACTGACAACATGTCTCTGAAACTAAATAAATAAAATTTTCTGCAAAAATTTTATTTGCAGAAAATGAGAAAAGGTCAAAATAACAAAAAGATGCAGTGCTTTCAGACCCCAAATAATGCAAAGAAAACAAGTTCATATTTATTTTGAAACAACAATACTAATGTTTTAACTCAGGAAGAGTTCAGGAATCAATGCTTGCAAGGAATAACCAGGTTTTTAATGGGGTTCACTTAGTTTTTTCCAGAGCTTTAGATTATTTTTAACATATTTTATGAATATGCTTAATGTTTTCCAACTAAACTCTTAGGCATTGCTCCAGTAAACTCTCTGGATAAAATCTCCACCAGACAAGTCTAACATTTGTGCACTAGAGCCCAACATGGTTTAAACACGTAAAGAATTAAGGTGTTGACAGCGGCTGTTTGCAAACCAAACCCAACAAATTAAAGCGTACTTCCTCTCTAACTGCCAACCCACAACCAGCCCAGTCTTTAGAAGTCAGGAATGGTGGTTTTCTACATAATAAATACCAGTTGTGTGGTAAAGCTGTGGCCCGCTTCTAATGGTGAGATACAAATCCCAAATGGGAGACGGTTTAAATAGGATCTTATTTGCTCAAACATGAAGAAATATCAACACTTACCTTTTTGGTGTATGAAGATGAGCAAATCTAAGAAAAAAAACTTTCCCAGGACTTAAAAACAAACAAACAAACAAACAAAACCAACAATTCTCCCCCTACGCCTAAAGAAAACCATTGTTAATCTGTTCTCAACAAGCTTCTAGTCATGTGTGAGAAACAGGGTATCCCCTGATGTAAGAACACAGGAAGTTTACTCAGATTATGTCTCCCATGTTATACAGAATCTAAAAATAAACATTAGGATGCCGAAAGGAAAAGTCACAGGAACAGATGGATGTGGTAGTCCGGAAACACTGACCAGCGTCAAACAGCTCCGACCAGCACCAGTCCTCTGGGAAACTGGATCATACAAAAAGCTCA